TCCTCGGGCGCAAAGTCGGCAGAGAAGGGCTTCCACCTGCGCGACCTCATCTCCGCTGACGACGCTGCTGCGCCTGGCGCAAAGGAGTTCGAGAAGCTGAGCGACGACCTTCTCGACATCGACGGCCTCATCTCCTCGGGCGCAAAGGGCGCAAAGGTTGCCCGCGCCAACATCGACCAGGTGAGCTGAACGAACGCCGTTTATTCAGGTGTCTGCAAAAAGAAGGGACTGACAGACGAAAATCTATTTCCCAAGTAAAGCTCCTTTCGCCAGGCGCACACTTTGACGAGCCAGAAACGCTCATCGGCGAGCTGACGTCTCCCGGAGCTACTTTCGAGGATGACTCGCAATAAGCGCCTCGCCGGCTTGCCCCGTCACCATACTACTATATCCTGTGTCTTCACGGGCTCACACTCCTTTTTGCTCTTGACTGGCTCGTTGCTTCTGTACTTCGCCCTCCTCTACACCTCCCCTGGGCTCTCCCCTCTCGCTAACCGAGCGCATCTCGCTTCGATCTTTGCTCGAACAGGTAGATCTTTTTCCACATTGCCGTTCTGCCATGTCTGATCTGTGTGCAGAGTCCTTTGGACGGAAAGTGTGCCTGCGCTATTCCAGGAAAGGAGGAACCATGATGGTAAACGACAGCAGTAGAATTTTCGCTGCGCGCTCAAACGGCCTCTCCAATGTCTTCATCATCCCCGCTGATGCTTGTCGTTGCCACTACGGCTTCGATGAGGAGATCGTCCAAGCGCCCTTGGCGCTGCTTTGATTCGCTGTCTGCCTCTGCTGACCGTTCGAGGGTGGTAGGAAGAGCTGACACACGGCCACACGAGTGCAACTCGCTAAGCAGCTTTGCCTTCCGGTCGTCTTTCCCAGCCACGGTCGTGATGCCGCCAAAGTAGAGCGGTGGCCTCAACGGCGCCGAAACTGTTATAGCGTCAATGACGATGCGATAGACTCGACTCAGCGAAATGATCTTTGCGTCTCCATCGCCTGTGCCCTCAGCGGCCTGCGTTGGGCTGTGGCCAGTCCAGAGTACGGCCTGGCTGGCTGCGAAAGTTGCAGCGCATACAGACACGAGACTCGCAACCAGAGGAGCAAAAGTGGGAGCTGGCGGCGTTCTGAGATGAGCCTCAAGTATAGCGTAGCATTTTGCCGTCCTTTGAGATATCTCGTGAAGTTGGATGGCAAGGACGAGAACATCGCTGGCGAGCTGGAGGAGAAAGACCTCTGGCGCAATTGTGTCCGTCAACTTTTTGCTCGTTCTCTTTCGGCTCGGAAGACTTAAGCAGATGAGATCAGCATCTCGATTGAACATAAGTAAGCAGATGTGCAGATATACTCACTCTTGGAGCTGTTGTCCCTCTCCGGCGGACCAAATGTGACGCTGCAAACTCGCGAGAGACTCTTGACACTGGAGTGATTGACCCGATCGCTTACTCGCGGCCACATTTTGACCGCCGACACCCTGGCTACGTCCCCGTTTGGAGGCAGCTCCTTCGACAGTGTAGCTCCTCTGCTTCTTTCCCAGTACCCTTCCGAGACATCTTCGGAGGCCATCGATGCTTTTAAACCATGGCGATCGGCGATGCTGAGCCCTGCTTTTGTACCACAGTCGATCGAGGATCGCAGTCTGAGATGTCAGCTGGGCAGCGACATGATCAAGAGCCATGCTGATCCGTCTCAAGCTCTTGACCGAGATGGCAATATGACTTGGGAAGTCATGATTGGACGAAGGCGAATCCTCCATCGCTGAACGGAGTCTGCGAATGACAAGCGCTTCCATCTACTACTGCCATGTAAAATAATCAAGTGAGAAAAATAAAGTCCCTCTGCCCGAATTCCGAACGAGGCTTCGCGTCAAGGTCTGTTCTCGTCACTCTCACCAATCACACGTCTGTTGCGAAGGGGACTCCGACGTACCTCTTGACTGCCTCGCCGCTCTCGCCCATCATTCCCCGACTTCGCCCATCTGTGTCCACCAGCCCCAATCATGCGTTGCGCGCAATAGCACAGGCCAATGTTCAGCTGCCGCCGTGGGCCCAGCGAAGCCGGCCCTGCTTTCCTCTCTTTGCGACTCGCTCATCTGCCTCTTCAAGCTCTCCTAGCCAGCCCACACCAAGCGTCACACCGGTGCAGCTGGAACAGGGAGGGTGGCAAGGCTACCTCCATGCTCCTCGAGCGAAGCATCAAATCGGGCGAGCCAGGCCCGGCTCAAATGGCTTCCAGCCGTCCGCAAGACGTCACCTTCCTCTGTCATCGCCGACCAACACCCCTCAGCCTTCCTCATCGGCGAGCGACTGGGGGACATGCCCTTCGACAACGCGGACCACCTCAACACCGCTTAAGCTGGCCAAAGAAATTATGACGTTCCAATTGTTGCAACAAGCAAAACACGACCTAGTCACCGCACCCTCTTCCTCTCTCGATCTCGACACCACGCCAAGGCACAACGAAAGAGTCGTCGAGCAGCGTGCGATCGGTCGGGAACGGTCCGGAGTGTACTCGAGCGAGCACTCAAGCCAACGGTGGGACTGGAGACAGCGTGCTCCTTCACGGGTTAACCAAGACGCAAGCAGCAAAGGCTCGGCGATCGGCTTCCGCCTGTCGAAACGCATATACCGTCGCCGAGCGGCCAGCGCGAGCCTCAAGCGAGGTGGAATGAGCATGCTGGAGCGACGCAAGGAGAGTGAACACCTTGATGAGGTCGGCCGCCGTCATGGCGCCGAGATCCGCAAAGCTACCCTTTCTCGCATGGCGGCCGTCCGTGAGACGGCGAAAAGGCAAAGGCATGCCTTCATCGATGGCCAGCTGAAGCCGTACGTGGGGAAGTGGAGCCGATTGGTGGGCAAGGAGACGCAAGAGGAGCGAAATGAGGTCGAGATGCGCAGGCAAACGTCGCTCGACGAGCTTCAGCGTCAAGGTCTCGTTCTTGTCGATGTCGAGGGTCACTGGCCCACCCGGCGAGACGGCAAGACAAGAGTCAAGCAATACGGCCAGCGAATCGGTCAATTCCAACCAAACGGGCGGAGCAAGCTGGCCTGGAATAAGTTCCAGAAGGGCGACCAAGTCGAGCTACGCCCGGTACAAACGACCAATATCGAAATCGCGAGCCTGTTGCCCGATGGCTCTCGGGATGCATTGGGTTGGCAGGGAAGCGACGAACGCGATCAGCGCTTCATACCAGCGACAATCCGAGCCATCAGCGACAGCGACATGCGCCTTTCCTTCGAGGGCCACTACGCGGAAGCCGACCTTCTCGCCTGTCCCTCCTGGCGCATCGACTTGGGCTACAACGATCTCGTCGAAAAAAGGGTCTTGGAGGCCCTTGATGCCCTGTCACACGACTTTGAAGCCATCGGACGAGCCGACAATCTGGCAAAAGATGGGCCCAGCCAACTCGAGCTCAGCGGCTCGTCGTTGGTACCGGACATCATCAGAGATCAGCCCAGGGCAGGGGCGCGTCAGCGCGGACTCTTTGACAACGACCAGCTCATTCACAGCTGGCTCAAACGCCACTTGAGGCCGAGTCCCATCATGATCGATGGCGATCCTCCTCTTTACGGTCTCAGTGAAACCCAGAAGAGGGCTGTAGCGCTGATGCTTTCGACTCCCTTGAGCTTGGTCCAAGGCGTGAGTTGCTTGGTCGATTCATCCTGAACACTCCCCCAATTGAGCTGACTTCTTCTATTCGTCGAACGCTGCTCAGCCGCCAGGGACGGGTAAGACAACGACCATCGTGGCCGCCATCGAGCTCCTTAAAGCCCACTTCCAAGTCCCACATCCCATCCTTGTCACTTCGCATACGAATGTGGCCGTGGACAACCTGGCAGCTGCCTGCTTGGACGCTGGCCTCAGCGTCGTTCGTGCTGGTTCCTCTGCCCGAACTCGCGAAGGATTGGATGGCATCACACTCGAGAGTCTGATGGAGAGACATCCGCTAAAGGGGCACCTAGACGAGCTGGAAGGCATCAAAGCAGGTCTGACGCGAGCCGTTGCCGAGCTCGAGGCAGGGGGCGAATCTCCCGCCTCGTCGCCATCTTCATTTCAGGAAAAGGATGTGAGCGCGCCGATACCTGGTGAGGAAGCAGCAACGTCATCCACCGCGTCGCACTCCGCACAAGATTGCAACTATTGGCGTGACGAAGTGTCGCTTTTCGCCGACACCGAAGACTTCAGGCATCTGAAGCTGGACGAGGAGGACGTTGATACCCCACCATTGACAATGGCTGACATTCCTCGACTGGAGAAACGTCTGTCGTCGGTCCGGCAAGCCACTTTCTTGATACGCAAGCGAATCGAGACCGACGTATATCACGGTGCCGACGTCGTGTGTTGCACGGCACTCTCAGTGCCCACTTGCAAGCCCATTGACTTCCCGTTTGTGTTCTTCGACGAAGGAAGCATGGCAACCGAGCCTATCTCGCTTGTGCCTCTTGTAAAAGGCAGCCGGCAAATTGCCATCATTGGCGATCACAAACAGCTGCCTCCGGTCGTTCAGAACGAAGAGGCACGTCAAGGGGGAATGGCAAAGAGCCTCTTCGAGCGTCTCATCGAAAGAGGTGACGTGCCAAGCATCATGCTTGACTGCCAGCACCGCATGCATCCTTCGCTGAGCGCCTTTGCCAGTCAAATGTTCTATGACACCAAACTTTGCGACGGCGAGACAATGGTCAACATCGAATCGCTCTCGTCCTCGTACCGTGCCTCGCCTTCTGGGGCCGACCAACACTACCTGGCCTTTGTCAATCACAGCTTTCGCGAGTCGTCCGAGGGGAAGTCGATTGAAAATGTTGGCGAAGCGATGGTGTGCAGTCGCATCATCGCCGATCTCTTGGCGCGCAATCCCGGCCTTCAAGCGCAGGACATCGGATTGGTAACGCCGTACCGAGGCCAGGCCCAACACTTTGCACGGGCTCTGGCCGATCCTGGCTCGGATCTTCGAATGGAAATGGTCCGATTTACCGCTCAATTGGCTAGGAGTGGTCTCGTGACATCGACGACGGATCCAGACCCTTCAAAGGTCGAAGTGCATACAGTCGATGGATTTGAAGGGCGCGAAAAGCAGGCCGTCGTGTTCTCCACAACAAGGAGCAATGCACTAGGCTTCGTTGGCTTCTTGGCCGATTCGAGGCGCCTCAATGTAGCCTTGACGAGGGCAAAAAGAGGTCTGTGGGTCGTGGGCAATCTCGAAACGCTTCGAAATGCACGACTGGGCGAAGCAGGGCAAAGGGCAGTCGACAAGGCAGACGTCAGTGCGATCCGCAAATATACCGCACACCTTGAGAAGCTTAGATGCGTTGTCAAAGCAGCCGAAGTGGAAAGGGCTGTCAACAGTGTCGCTGTCCGGTAGATGTCAGTAGCAAAGCAAGATGTCATCGTCGTACAAAAGTAGAACTAAGTAATGCATTCCTCGGCTGTACAGTACTGTACTACTGTACAAAGAAGTCGACACATGCTTTCCTCGAAGTTCTCATGCCAAATCGACCGATCCGGACTTTCTCTTCTTCTCTTCTCCTAATCTTTGCTTGCCCTCATCTCCTCTCGCCACTTGTCGTTTGCCGGTGTGGCGAACGCGAAGAGAGCCAGTGCTGGCAGTGGTGCTCTTACCTCCCAGACCTCCTTTTTCAAATATCTGGACGCTGCCGGCAACGTGCGACTGAGGTTCCAAGCCACCTGACGAAGCTTCTGACTCATGCTTAGGCAGCGTCAAGAGCGTCTCGTACAAGGCCAGGCACCGGGCCTTCTCAGCCGACGCAAAGGATGCAAGTGATCCCTCTCCAGTAGCGTCGTTGCCATCTTCTGCGGCGCATCTGCGTGCTAGAGATGCTCCAATTTCCTGGCTCTCTTGGCTTGAGGCTTCCAAGCGACCGTATAAAGGCGACCAGTGGACAAGATGCAGAGTGGAACGTTGCTTGCCATTCTCGCAGGGCCTCACGTCGGGCCGCGTGTCACAGCAGGTCCACAGCGTCGTGCTGTTTGGTGTAGCTCTGGTCCGGTCAACGTCGACGTCGATGACGGGTCCATCGAGAACCAGAGGTTTGACTTGATCCGAGACATCAACGGTACTTCCTTCTAGCTGGGCGCTCCTTGATGCAGCGTTGAGCAGCAGCACCTCGAGCGGTAAAGTGTAAAGAGCGTTGGCGCTGGATGGAGCAAGGGCAGTCAGCGTAAGCTCATACTACCAACAAAGTGGAACTGCTCACCCTTCGACCGTGAATAGGATGTGAAGTTCACCCTTGGCACCGGCCAGGACGTCAAGGTGACTGATGACGATTCGAGATTTCTCGGCCGCCCTTGCATTGCCGTTGATCTCGCCGTCAAAGTTCTTCACTCTTCTTGGCTCGCCAGCCTTCGTTGCGCCTGAATGTCTACCTCTAGCCTCTTCGACGCCAACGTCGACACACAGGTGCGCTTGAACGCAGCTAGAAACATCTGCCACCACCAGGCAGTCGCGATTTGACAGAGCAGCATCATTGTCGGGATGAAGACTCCACAGCCGAATTCGGCCTGCATCAGTCGAGACGAGGAGCGGGTAGCTGCACAGGTCTTTGTCCGCTTGCACGGCCGACTGCAGGAGAGCAGCCAGCTCGGGTCCTTGGATCACGAGAAGCGATGAGACTGCATTTGCACTCCCCAGGAGGTATCGAAGGACAATATGAGCGGCTCTTCTAGGACCCCATCGAGAGATGCGAATGTGCTCGTCACGATCCGAGCTGATGATATACTGGGGCAGCAATACCCCGTCGCCGCCCGACCTGTTGTCCAAGCGACCGTGGATAAAACAAAAGTTGGTCAGCATAGAGACGTGCCCTAGCCGGGGCGCTATGGTGGTGCCACGACCTGCGTCTGCCTCTTCTTCTTCCTCTTCTTCCCCCTCTTTCCGCGAACTCTGCGTTTGCCTCTCGTCTCTGCCTCTTGCGCCCTTTCCTTGTGTGTCGCCGTCTGCGTTCTGACGTGCGCTATCGGGCTCTAGAGGAACAGCAAAGCTGCACATCATTGTATCAGCTCCTCATATGTTCATGCATCCGAGCTACGGCTTGGAACACTTACGACCGAATGTCGCCATGCCTGTCCCCCACAACGAGATGAGGTTCGGAATGCTGGGTGACCGGCGCTTCCCACGCCAGTTTGGCGACTCGCTTTGGCAGGATGAAATGCAGCAGTGGAGTTCTGGCCACATTGTGGGGCGACTTGAGCCCGGAAAGGCCAACGACATCGAGAACCTTGTCATCACCGACAGAGGCGACGAGAGCGTCGAAGGGCGCCGCCGGCGAATTCGTCAAGTCAAGGACGATGGCTCTCCTCGGAGACGCAGCGGGATCGGAGTGCGTCGCGACATCAATCACATCTCCATCCGCCAGCGTCGCAATGACCGTCTTTGTCGGCGAAGCGAGAAGCAAGCACCCGTGGGGCAAGACTCGTGCCAGGGTATTGGGAAGCCTGACTCGGTCCGTCATCGTCATCTGCCCAGGTCAAGGAGCTTCGCAATTCCTGATGTTATTTTTATTTCCTTGCGTCGACCAAAAAAAAGGCGCGAGAATGGAAGACTTGCTTCATCTTAGTAAGTATTAGTAAGCATGTGGAGGCGTCAAGGACAAAGTGCTATGACCTACCGTTTCCCTTGGCTTGGGAGGAAGCTGTTCCCTCTCACTGAACAAAGAGCATCGAAAGGAGTGTGGAGCGAATCGGCGACGCGGACGACATCGACGGTGAGAGTTTCGACCCGGTGCCAGAGACTGCCATGTTTCATGGATCAGTCGTACCAACGCCGGTTTCGATATTCTCCTCGACGTCAACGAATCCCTTTTCCCTCTTTTCAGTCCATCGCGATGCCTCTCTACCCCAAGAGTCTGGCCTCATGCTCCTCACCGATTCTGACAGCTCGCCCATGGAGACAGCAATGCCCAAAGATGCCCTTTTTTCAAAGCGGGATCCCACGCAGTTCGTTCTGCGCAATTCGCCCTCCCTGTCTGCCGGTGACGACGGCGAGGCCAAGGACCAAGATCGAGTAAAGAGGCGAGGAAAAGGCGGAGGCGGAGGAGAAGAAGCAAGAATTGAAGACGATGACGACGACGACGATGACGATGCCGGTGCGCTGCTTCACCAGACTGTGCTACACCTGCAGAGTCCGACAATCGCGACGACGTTCATTCGAAGTCCACCGTTCTCGGCACGGGGAAGCCTGCTGGGAGCCCAGACTCTCGAGCTCGCCATTCCTCTTCCCTTTGTGCATTTCCAGTTTCGTCCGCTGGGTCGTCACCTTCCCTTTCTCGTCGAGGTAGGCCTCAAGGATGCCCGAGGTCAGCATGCGCGAATACGAGCCAGCAGCTTCCAGACTACTCCGGCCCTCTACCCAGCTGAGGCGCCTGTGAAAGGGTACAGAGGCGATGATGGCGATGACGAAGACGGAAATGGCAGACAACATCACTTGGCAAGGGAGCTGTCACTGCGTAGAGGACCTTTGCTCCATCTCCCTATAGACATGCCAAGCCGAGCTCCGCTGTCGAGCGGCGGGTCTGAGTCGCGTGTCGTCGTCCTCACGACGTGGTCCACCTTGTCCTTACACCTTTCCCACCTGCTCGGTCACTTCAACAACGCCTCACTCATCCCACCCTCAGCTGCCCCCACTTTGGGCAGGTCGGCTACCGTGCCTATCCCGCAGACCTTTTACGGCTTTCAATATATAACCTACGTCCAAGTCCACGCGAATTGCCGCCTTCGCCGCATTTGGTGCGACGAAGGAGCCGGTGAGACTGGCCGCGACGAGTTCCGCCTCTTTACCTCGACACCGTCCTCCTGAATTGCAGCGACTCATAGCAGACCCTTTCGTGACTCCGCTCTTCATCAATATTGTACGAGTAGCAAGACAGTGAATGGCAGCAAAAGCCAGCGAAAAGAAATCGATAAGTGCTCCCTTCGGTGACACAGCGAGCGCCCACATGGAGAACTTGACCGCTCGTGCGCGGAGCCCTGTGCTTTTCTCTCCGCCCCTGCCCAGAACTTTTGCCGTTCCGCTGGGCTCAGTATGTCGTCCAAAGTGCCCTTCATATGTCACTGCTCTCATGAGTGGGCAAGAGGCTTCCTTCTTCTGACCACCAGCCAGAACAGAACGCCAGACTGACTAGCTAGCTAAACAGACCTTGACTCGTCTGCCTGGAACGAAGCTTTCCTCCACTCTCAAGCCTCCCCTCCCCTCTTTTTTATCACTCTTGTATACCCATGTATTATTATTAAATGCTCATTGATGACCACAGCTAATCGAATAATGCTCATTACATTGCAGGCTTCTGAGAGCGAAGAGACGATCGGCCACTGGCGAAAAAACCCGAATCGAGGTGATTTGGAGCCCGGCGGCCCTTTGAGGCACATGCGCGGAGGCAGTAGGAAGCCAATCTATATATGGGAGGAGTGTGAGGGCGCTGCTCCACCTGCACATATACGCTACGGCTGCTAGGAACGACTGCCAGGCGTATCATAAAGTTGTTGCTCGGAGGTGACGAGGAGAGAAAGGCAAAAAGAAATGAGGATCCTGCCACGAGCATTCGACCTTCTCACACGAGGTCTAAGCAGCAGAGGCCAGACAAAGGTAAGCCAGAATACGAGCGGCTCGTCAAACGACGGCACTAGTGAGTACCGCGTACCTGAATGTCGTGCGGTGACGAGATCCTCCGAAATCGGGTATTGCGATGCAGCGCAAAAGGACCAACTACTACACAACAAGCACTGCGTAGGACTACAATTGTGGGTGACTGTCCGCAATACGGTGACGTCTGCCTCGCCCTTTTCTCTTTGGCTCAGCTCGGCAGGGAGGAGGAGTAGAAGTCAGAAGGAGCTTGAAAGATGCCCATCCTTCGTTTGCGCCATGTGCATCAAATATAATAAGGAGATAACCAATAGAAGCAATTCTATAATAGACTAAAAGTGATAATTGCAGGAGGACATGAAGAGTTAGTACTGAGGCGGGTTACTGGGAGCGTAGGAAATCACTACAAATTCAGAGAGAAAGCCCGCTGAATATACGCGCCCCGACCCATGCGAGACGACCATGAGGTCTGTTGGCCGCTTCTCATATAGCTCCGCCGAAAGTACCGACTTTTCACCGGTTGGCAAGGGAGGCGGAGCACGAGGTACGCAATGGATGGCATGCGGTTGCCGACCCTCAGCGACTTGACTCTGCTCTCCATTCCACGTCGTGCATCTCGGGCCCCTTGTAGCGAGTACTTTGCGCCATCGGCCAAGGGTTCCACCCCCCCTTCCCCACCCCCCTTTTCCTTCCCCCTCCTGGACCATTCACCCAATAAGGCGCAGAGGGGAAAAAATTTTCGTGGCGAGAAGGACGACTAGAAGCTGAAAACGAGAAATGGGCAGCAGTTCATACGATACGATCCTGCTACAACAATGACGAGCAGCCCTCTTGATCAGAGCCAGCCATCGACCGATGAAAGCACCTTGAAGCGCCATGTCAAGGCGAAATTGCATGCCTTAGACGGCCGAGAAAGAGCGGTGTTGCCACGCGAGGACGCAAGCAGGCGCAAAACGCCGTCGTTCAGCAGCTTTTCTGCCGACAGAGGCGGAGGAGAGGAGATGCTGTCCAGCAAGCGCAGTGGTAGGCAATTTGACGAAGCCCTATCGTACGTTGGCGTCATCGACGCCGAGGGAGAGATCGGAGCCGTGCCAGTCCTGAGCCGCAGATGCCGGCACCCCAGCCTGTCCAACTTGAGGTTCTCACTGCGCCGGGCGTTGAGCTCGAGTGACCTCAGGGCCAACGTGCCATCGGCTGCGTCCACGTCGGCTCATGATAGTCGCAGAGGAAAGACAAGCAGTGGGCTGGTCAAGTCCGGTCGGGTATGCGGCTACTCAGAGAGTGCTTCTTTGGGCTCCTCGGCAACGGTGTCTTCCTCTCCCTTGTGGAAGCCGTCGCCGTTGCCGTTGCCGTTGCCGTTGCCGTTGTCGTCGCAGAGCAACGCCATTGGTCTCACTGCATCGTGGCGATTGTCATCGGCAGCCGCGACAAGCTCCTCTCCGACATACACGGAGAAAAGACTCACCCAGGCTGGCCGAAGCAATGGCGCGAGACGACAGAAGAGATTGTTTGTGAAAAGCACAAAGTTGGAGGAGGCCTTCCATGAAGGATCCGACGAGCAGCGGCAACAGCCGGACAAGCACAGGACGGAAGCCGACGTTCTTGCCTCGAAAGAGGCAAACACGCTCGCCGTGGCCCAGAGTGCAGCCGTCAAGCCTCTGAAGAGCGTAGATGCGACCCGGTCAACGATGTCGTTCACCCTCGACGGTGGCGCAAACACCAAGGCAACGAATGCTGTTCCTGAAAAGAGGACGCTCATCGTGCTCCCAAACGATACTGACCAGGACTTGGGCAGCACCCACTACCACGCCATGGACACTGGGCGAAGCCACCGAAGAGGTCGTAGTATGACGACGACGGCGACGACAACAACAACAATGATGTCTTCGTCTGTCTCCTCGTCTTCTTCGTCCTCCAGTTCCATAATGGCCACAAGCGGAGCCAGGTCCAGCACAAGGCGGAGGGGCCACGTGGTCAAGTCGATTGACATGCGGGACATGTATGCGAGCAGGCAGCCGAGGCAGTCGCTTGGTGCGTCCGTCGGCGAGCTCCTTGGTCTCGAGAGAGGCCGTCGCACAATTCTGCACCGCGGCACAGAGGATGGCGTGAGTTGTCTTTGCACCTCTGTCCACGAAACATTCTTGGACCAGCTCTCGTTGCCTCACTTGACTGACCAACTTATTCTCATCCTCGTTAATCATCATCACGGCCCGTATCCTCCTTGTCCCTCGCCCAGCCCGTCCTGCTTTCTTCGACGCCGACTCGAGGCAAATCCGCTTTCAGCCTCGAGCGTACTCCAACGGTACGCATGCATTCGCAGGCCATCAGGGCAGTGGGCAATCACAGCAGCAGTCATGCCCTTGCTTCCCCGTCGGCCGCCGGGCGAAGCTGGCGCACGTCGCTCGGCAAGGCAGACTTCTATGGCCAACGTTGGCAATTCTCCTTGCCGGCCACTTCTGAGCTACCCCATCCCCCGACGGATCCAACGATGGTGACGAGTGCAGCCATCGGCATTACCGACGGCCAGCGCCACTTTCAATGGGAGGGGTCCCATCTCCTCAAGCTCACTGAAAAGGGCACGGGCACCCATCGGACCCGAGCTCTCTTCAGGAGAGACGTCAAGGAGACCCGTGGCGCCGGTACACTGGAGTATGACGCAGATGTGAGTCTCACCACCAACCAACGTTGGGCATGGTCATGGTCGACTGAATTCGACGGGATGCCACCGTGGCCCTTCCCCTTTGCCAGTTCCCTGATGTCGATGTGCTCGTCTTGAGCCTCCTGGTCGTCATGGATTGGATCTGTACGACGGTGGGAGGCGGCGACGAATGCCGCTGAGAAGATCGTAGCCTCCCTCTCCTCGACAAATAGATTGCTTCTTTCATTGAATTTTCTACTACCACGTTACACCACTCTTATCATACCCCTTTCTTATTATATCGCCGCTTTTGGCGTTCATCGCCAACCGTGCGAAGGGCTGAATGCCATATCCTTCATCTCAACTACGGACTTCGGTACTCCGTCTTGCCAGATAATTGCCCGCAGGGTCTGTAGTGTGCCTTGACTGCAGATACACACCCTTGTCCCTTACCGGATGTGTACGCCAGTGAACTACTGTACAGTACACATACAGTACATACAGTAGCATTCTAATTAGACTAATGTTGATTAAGCCAGACTTGTATATCATCGTTCCACATATATTTATACCTTAGATGAGCAGGCGCTTCTTCTGCCTTTAAATTAGTGTTGTATCTTTTTTTTTCTTGCCTTCACTTGCTCTGTGCGCACTTCCCTAAATGCTTTCCGAAGCTCAAGCAGGCCATCTTCAAGCGTCTTCCTCCTCTGAATCTGGGTAACGAGGAGCGGGTGAGAAGAACAGTAGGCGGAAAGAAGCCCTGCGCTTTCCACTCTTTCAGCCCCCACTCCTCTCCTGTCCTGTTTCCATCTCTCCTGTTCCCCAACCCAGACATTCTCTCTCTTCTCTCTCCCCTTCATCCATCCTCCTCTCTCGCCTCTCTTTTCCTACGGTCATCATGACCGACACCCCAGAGGTACACACCCTGGTGGAAGGCGACGAAGTCAAGGACAAATCGCCCGAATGCGACCTGGCAGGGGCCGAGAGTGATCCGGCACATCGACAAGACAGCCCGCCGTCGAAGCCCGTCTTAGCAGACGTTCCTGACGGTGGGTGGCGTGCTTGGCTGGTGGTGAGCGGGGCTTCTTGCACCCTCTTTGCCAGCTTTGGCATCATCAATGCTTTTGGCGTCTTCCAAGACTACTACAATTCCACCAGGCTCCCCAATGAGACGGATTCGGTAGTTGCTCTCATCGGCGCTATCCAGCTCTTTTCTCTCTACGGACTGGCGCCCCTCATCGGTAAAATCTTTGACGCTCACGGGCCAAAGGTGAGTGAGTCTGAGAGGCGAGACGCCTACGGTAGGGAAGAGGAAGATCACCCCATGCAAAGACGGCGAGAGAAAAGGGGAGAGAGGGACCCAGAGAGAAAAAGAGAGAGAGAGAGCAAGGGAGCAGAGTGACTGACGAATAATGCGATCGCATGCAACACTCGACAGGTGCTTATGCCCCTGGGCTCCTTCTGCATCGTCTTTAGCATCATGATGCTTTCGCTCGCAAAGGTCAACCAGACCTACCAGTACTTCCTCGCCCAGGCGGTCCTGTTTGGCATTGGAAGTGCCATGGTCTTTACTCCAGCCCTGGCCATCGTCGGTCACTATTTCCGTAGTAAAAGGGCCTATGCCCTCGGCATCGTCGCCGCTGGTTCCTCGCTCGGTGGCGTCATCTTCCCAATCGTCCTCCAGAGGCTCCTGCCCCGGCTCGGCTTTGGCTGGAGCATCAGGATCATGGGCTTCATCGCCCTGGCTTGCCTCACCTTCTCGTGCGTCACCATGCGCCCGCGCCTGCCGCCTCGCCAGGCGTCGCTCGGCCAGATCCTCCGCTTCATCGACCTTGGAGGCTTCCGAGACCCGAGCTACTGTCTGGCCACGGCCAGCGCCTTTTTCACCTTCTACGCCCTCTTCATCCCCTATTTTTACATCAAGCAGTTTGCCGAGCTCCACGGCATGTCGCCTCAATTGGCACAGTATCTCCTACCCATCATCAATGCAGCAGGTCGGTAGTGTTCCTCTTTTCCCTGCATCCAATCGTCAACGCTGACAACCGCATGGCACCCTTCAGGTGTCCCGTCGCGCATCATTCCCGGCATCTTGGCCGACAAGGTCGGCGTACTCAACATGATGGTTCCTCTCACCCTCGGCTCAGGCATTCTTTCCCTAGCGCTGTGGCTACCATCAACGGGCAACGTGCCTTTGATCCTCTTTGCCGTCTTTTACGGCCTCCTTTCGGGAAGCTTTGTCTCTCTGCTCCCGGCATTCGTCGCCAGAATCTCTCCTCAGCCCCTCTTCGGGGCGAGACTAGGTGCCGTCTATGCATTTGTTGCCGTCGCCAACCTCGTCGGGACCCCTACTGGAGGTGGCATAACCCAGGCAGGGACAAAGGCTGCCTACAGAAATCTTGCGGCCTTTGCCGGCACCATGGTCACCGTTGGAGGTCTCTGCGCGCTTGGCGCTTGGCTGATCGAAGCCAGAAAGGAGAAGAGATTGCGTCAAGAACGTGGTGGTAGTCTCACTTTGTTTTTGCGCATCTAGTGTTCGAGGTGGTCGTGGTTGTGGTTGTCCGCTTACCGCCCCGCCCACCTTTGAGCCTTCGCGACCGGGATTGGCGTCTCCATGGATTGCCAGGTGCCAGGAAGCAAATACCAAGACCTCTAAATACAAAAATGTTCTCTGGAATACAATATGCTAGAATTTCTCGAAAACATCCCTACATTATTACAGATTTGTGTACTGCTAGCCCTTCCAGCTTTTTCTCGTCGCTCTCGTGTCCCTTCTCATCCACCAACCACAACCTTTGACCCCTCGTAGACCGCTTTCGTCGCGCGACTGCGCGTACGTCCAAGAATCACCGCTCTGCTCTTCTTCTCTTCTCAAAGCTGGCCTCTCTTCGCCGCCTTAAAGCGGACCCAGAGGACATCATCGAGAGCTCTTTACTGCGTTTTGAAGAAGAGCTGAGCCCAAAGAGAGGCGTGGCAACCTCGACGGCACAGTGGACAAGGCCCTCTCCTTTGCCCTTTGGTACAGCTGCTCAACGACTTCTAAGCGGGAGCTCGGACGATCAATCGTTAGAGGGAATCGTGGAGAGCCGCCGGCTTGGAGATTCAGACGTCACCCAAGACGCAGCCACCTAGGTGCTCGGTCCCAGTCGTCTTTTCGCACCAGGCCGTGGAGGCGCAGCGACCTTCCTCTTACGCTGATTCTTTGCCAGTCATGGCAGTCAGTGGTATCAATGGTGCCCCAGGTGGCGGCGGTGGAGGAGTTGTCTTGCCGGGTGGTAACAAGGCGACGCTGAGCGAGCCTCTGGCGGCCAATGGGCGGAGTGGACCAGATGACGGCAAGGATACCAAGGGCGAAAGCGCAGCAAGTTTGGAACAAAGTCTCAACACCATGCATGGCATCGTCCCTACATTGCAGTGAGTGCTTACTGAATAGCAAACAGGCCAGGCAGGCATATGGAAATAGCTATTGGTCTTCGGAAGAGAAGAAGATCGCCTATTGACAAGCGTTTCTTGCAGAAATATCGTGGCTACCGTGAACCTCGAAGTCCGTCTGGATCTCAAGACGATCGCGCTTCACGCACGCAATGCAGAGTATAATCCAAAGGTGGCTTATCTTGTCTCTATGCGCTTGCAGTGCGTGCGTGATGCCGGCTGACACTTCTATGGCCTCTGCTACCAGCGTTTTGCCGCTGTAATCATGCGAATTCGTGAGCCAAAGACGACTGCCCTTATCTTTGCAAGCGGCAAGATGGTGGTAACGGGTGCCAAGAGCGAGGACGACTCAAGGTTAGCAAGTCGCAAATATGCCAGGATCATTCAAAAGCTCGGCTTCGAGGCTCGATTCAGCGAGTTCAAGATCCAGAATATCGTCGGCTCGTGAGTAGAACTATATAGCCCATTGACGTGCGACTATGCGATCGCTGAATGTGGACTTGATCATATCTTGCAGTTGCGACGTACGCTTTCCCATCCGACTCGAGGGATTAGCGTACAGCCACGGTATTTACTCCTCCTACGAACCAGAGCTCTTTCCAGGTCTCATCTATCGTATGGTCAAGCCAAAAGTGGTGCTGCTTATCTTCGTTTCGGGCAAGATTGTCTTGACGGGCGCCAAGGTTGGTGTGGATTCTATGACCCGCCCGGCCTGCACAATCCACGCTGACTTTGCAATCTTTTCACTTCAAGGTTCGCGAAGAGATATATCAAGCCTTCAACCTGATCCTTCCTGTCTTGGCTGAGTTCAAGAAGCCATGAGTGTTCAGAGCACCAAACCCTCCAAGAGCTGCTTGAGCAGAGCTTGTGACTTCACCCATCGTTGCCCTTCGTTTCTAGACACTGCCTCGGACCAAATTTCCCGCCCTCCACAAAAGGAAGCGCAGTCGCTCGTGCGGTGTGCGTCTCTTTAAACGTCGAGACTCGCCCAGTCTCATGTACTAGTAGTAGTAGTAGTAGTAGTAGCAACAGCAGTAGTAGTCAGAGTAGCAGTCAGAGTAGTACCAGTCGCCTCCTCCCCTCTGCTTCTCCTTTCTAGAAAAGAAAGTAAGGTCTTCAATTCGCCTCGATGCAATACACCTTCATTTCCTGCCGCTGACAATGAGAGCGCGAGATGGTGTATGTCTCTTTCGTCCTCACTTTTGAACATTTTGTTCGGAGCTTTCGCATATGATTGATTGATCGGACAGGTGGACGGCAGAAGAGACGCATCAGAGACAAGAGCGCAAGACAGCTGAACCAAGTAGTGGAAGGAAGAAGAGACAGAGAGGAGGGGGGGAAGGGAAAGGGGCAGTGTTCTTCCGAAGGGGCAAACATTCACTCTACCTGAGCAACACCCGAAACGTCAGAGTTCCCTCGCTCGCTTTTGATCGATCTCTCGCAGCGGCCAGAACAAAGCTTCCTCGTACGACCCTCGATAATGCATGTCTTTTCTTCCTTCACAAGCTTGGCTCCTACGCGGTCCTCAGTGACCCCAGTACTGCCTATAAGGGTAGTTTGCGTAATTACCAGCCGAGCCGCTGGGCTGATGGGCAGCGTAGGCGTTGTACTGCTGGTAGTACTGTTGTTGTTGCTGCTGCTGCTGCTGCTGCTGTTGCTGTTGCTGAGGCGTCATAGCAGCATGCTGACCTCCTTGTTGCTGGGGACGAGCCTGGGAACTGGTAGGCACGCCAGTCTTGGAGGTGTCGTACTGGCGATAGGCATTTTCGAGGGCGCCACCTTGACCGCCGCCACTTGCGCCGCCAGCAATTCCAGCCGAACCAGCAGCAGAGGTCGACGTGGCCGTGTTCGGACCAGTGCTTTGCTGCTGCGACGACCCGTGACTGGTCTTGGCACCTTGCTGATTCTGTTGCGCGCTGAGCTGAGGCGTCGATGCATTGCCATTGTTCGGTCCAGACGGGGCTCCACCATTGTTACTGCCCTGGCCAAGGAAACCACCGAGACCGGGAAGAGAGCCAGTTCCAGCAGTATTACCGCTAGCGCCACCGCTTCCATACAACTTCGCGTAGTCGGCTCCCAGATTCGGCATGCCCTGAACCCTCTGGCCAAAGCCTTGGCCATCGTAGCCACCGGCTCCAAGCCCAGCCGTCGCGGGCGATTGTCCGTACTGTCCTTGAGCACCGTAGCCGGCTGCGTCAGTGTGAGGACCGCTCTGAGAGTAAGGCGACTGCAGGCTGGCCGGCGTTCCCGGCTTAGACGGGTGTTGGGGCTGATTGTTGTACATGGCATATTGGCCATAACCGGCAGCGGGCTGAGCGTAGTGCTGAAATTGGCTGAGGGGATAGTAGTGCGGGTAGTAGTATGGCAGCATACCAGGGTACTGCTGTTGCTGCTGCTGTTGAGCAGGGGCCTGGTGTTGTTGGTGTTGCTGCACATTTTGCTGGCCTTGCTGACTAGAAGCGGGAACAGCGCCCTGAGAGGTGGCTGCGTGCATATCGGATGATGCCTGAGATCCAGGCTGCTGCTGCAGCGAGCGTTCTTCGCCCGAGCCCTTGGACGCAAAGTTGCCCGACGACTGGTCATACGCGCCGTAGAAGCTCTGCTCCGAAGACTTAGCGTGCTTCCCCACTATGACCGACCCGGGAGAACGACTCACCGAAAGCCTTTGGGAATCAAAACCACCACCATACATTGACGAGTAGTCACCGTACTGTGACGACTGTTGGCCTTGCTGTCCGAGTGGGTTGTACGCCCCGCTGTATTGGTGGCCTTGCTCAGCACCTTGGCTTTGCTGCTGCCCTTGGGGGTAGCCAGTTTGCGCCTGCTGAGCTTGCGCAAGAGCGGGCTGTTGCGGAGCCTGAGAAGGCGTCTGCTGGTGCTGCTGTTGCTGGTGCTGTTGCTGGTGCTGTTGCTGTTGTGGTTGTTGTTGGGACTGCTGCTGAGGCTGGTACCCAAAGGCGTCGGTCTTGTTAAAGCCGGAGCCAAATTGATTGGTGGTAAATCCATCTTGCTGTTGCTGAGGAGCGGCTGAAGCAGCTGCGCCGGCAAATCGATTGCCGTAGGCGGGCTGCTGCGGACGCTGGGTCTCGTTCGCAGATGGTGAGGCGGCTTGCTGCTGAGAAGGAGCGAGGCCTTGACTGTCTTGACCCTGTTCGACAGCGACGACAGCAGGAGGTTCCGCAGCGGCGTCAGCGTGCGCATTAGAGGTATCCTGCTCGTCGACTTCGTCTTCTCCTCCCAGGAAGTTCAATGATCCAAACTTGACCCCAAGATTGTCCAGTTGTGAGTTTCCGCCGGGCATGACCACGGCCGCCTCTTGTCGAGATCGTTGGAGGGCGCGCTGGCTGTAGGTTGCCCTTGGTAAAGCCGGCTTAGATGCCGGTGCTGCATCTGCTACGTTAGCCGAAGGCACAGCAACGGAAGAGACAGTTGTAGCGCTTCCAGCTCCTGCTTCCGTGACGGGCTTGGTAAGACCGTCGGCAGCAGTCGTCGTCGTAGTTGTCGTTGGTAGAGGCTGCTCGTCCTGCTTGCTGGCGCTGACTTTGTCAATTTGTGACACTGAAGTAGCAGTCGGTGTCTCTTCGACGACAGCATCCGCTGTCGGAGCGGGCTGCGGCGCCAGGACAGACTCAGCTGTCGTCGATGTTCCCGCAGGTGCCACCTGTCGGGGAGCTTGCGAAGTCTTGGCGCCAACACCTTGGGCAGTCGTCTGCTGCTGCCCCTGAGGCTTCGGAGGCTCGGTAGGTCTGTGTACGATGTGAAACGTCGTCCTCCATGTCAGCAGTCGGGGGTGGTAGCGCACATTGAGGATGATCGGAAAACCTACCTGGCAATCTGGGCCCAACTCATCTTTGAGTTCTTTGGAATCGTCTTTGCGGCCGTGCTGGGATTGTCTGCAGCGTTGATGGCCGATGAAGAAGGCTTGGAATGTCCAGCGGTGGAAGCTGGCTTGGGAGCCACCGCTGAAGGGGCAGTCTCGACTCCATCGACAGCTACGACGGCGGCAGGCTCGTGGGGAGCAGACGACGACGTACCGAGGTTGAGGCCTTCAGTGTCGTCGCCCCAGTCGTTGCCACCTCCCACACCCGAGATGCCATTGATCTTGGTAGAGGCTGCGACGGCGTCTGCCCAGCTCGGGCCAGTGCTCGAAGTGGCGGGTGGGTCTGCGTCGGGGCCCGCCGCTGCACTGGTCGCGAGGTGGCCGTTGGTTTGTGGGGCAATGCCGCCACCGCGACCGGCACCGCCTCCGCCACGGATGCCGCCACGAGCGCCACCACGAGCTCCGCGAGCAGCTTCGTATTTGTACAAAGAGGGGGGGAAGACGTAAGTGAGATGAGGAATATGTACGCCTTTTAGGGTTGGCATGGAGAAGACGCAAGACTCACCTGGGGCACCTCGGCCTCTCGCAGCAGCACCGCCTCGACCGCCTCGGACGGCAGCTGAGGTAGGAGCATGGCTTACACCGGGTCCGCTTGCACCTTGAAACGTGGACGGCGTTGCCGTCGACACCTGATCCTTCTTGACCTGCTTCTTGGACTTGACAGAGGAGAATTGCTCGGCGTGACCTGCATTGGTGCCATTCGCGACGCCGTCAGCCAAAAAGGGACCACCCAGAGCGCAATCTCAAGCGTAAGACAACAGATGAACCCACCTTCACTGATCCGTCCCACCGCCAGCTCTACCTCGCCGCCGGCATCTTGGAGAGCAAAGAGAAGGTCCTCGTCGGTCCAGTCTGAAAAGAGCTCCTTCAGCATGCCAAGTTTGTCGCCAAACTTGGACCTCAGCTTCCGGACCTCTTCCGTGTCGTCTGCGTGCGCCAACGCCGCTGGATTCGATCCTCCCCCCGACCGCCCGCCTCTCCGCCCGCGTTGACCACTGTGGCGTGGTCCCGTGGGTGGTGCCGCTGTAGTCGACATGCTGCGTGTCTTTGTATGTTCGTAAGTGTGAAGTGTGAAGCAGAGAGTCGAAGCCGGTCTCGAGACAACAAGAGGGGAACTGCAATTGCTCAGGTCTCCCTTTGCGCAGTCGATCGATTCCGGACACGGGCTGCGTGTGATCCTTGCCCTTGCCAGTAGAAGAAACGTCGCCGGCTCTTCGTGCGGATGCTTCCTGCTCTGGAATCAGAGGTTGAGCTTGCAGGTCTCACCGAGTCGAGTTGGGATGTGTCCCTCCCCTTTTTTTTTGAAAGACGGGTGGATGGGAGTTGGAGAGCGAACGACGGGAGGATTTAGACTGATGGCAGCGAGAGAGTGTGTGTGTGGGATCAAAAGAATCCACGACGATGCAAGAAAGCCGACTGCCAGAAGGACGTGTATGTGTGTTGGCCTTGGCTCCAGCTCGTGCGCCGCGCGCACATATCCACCCAAAACCAATACAACAATTGGCTTCATTCACAGATGCCATTTTCTTTCCATTTTCGGTGGATTAGTATCTCACTTCTGCACGTGACGCCGCTTCCTCCGCAGTGGCAGCTTCGGTCCTTGACAGCGCAGGCCGCGGACAAGGGCTTCGCTGTAGCGCGACATCAGCACCAGCCAGTAGCGTGTCTCCCATCATCTCATGCTGCAACAGCACGTGTTTGCTGCTGTCGAGTCAATCACAATGTGTTGCGCCGCTCCTCCTTCTCTCTTCAGGCGCATGCTGGTGCAGCAGCAGCAGCAGCAGCAGCGGCAGCAAGTTCAGCAGCGCAATGACCTTGGCAATATCATTTCGCGTGGTCGGCAGTGGTGAGGATATATCAGAAGTAGGGTTATAATAAAGAGGTAGTAGTAGTATTGGGGGTATTGGTAGCTCTGTTATTTATTAGTACGTGTAGCAGCACTAGTTCCGGTAGTAACAGTAGAAGCACCTGCGCCCCCCACCTCGCATGACTGGAGGCAGCTGTCGGAGGCTAGAGCGACGCGCTAGCTCAAGTACGCCTGCAAGGCAGCAATCCCTATATCACGGCTGCTGCTGACCATCTTCGTGGCACTCTCTCTCAGCCGACTCGGCGTCGTTTGGCACGGTGTGAGGACGTATCATGGCCTCGCTCGTCCTACGCTGACGAACGGATGAACGGACGGAGGCTGCTGGAAGAGGAAAGGACCATCTTCTCCAAGGCGCTATGAGGCATCAAGCACGAGAGAAAGGCGCCGCAACACAACAGTCTAGATAGATACGCCGACCATGCCAAACCGCGATGGGCTCCAGAACGGATCGAGTCTCGACGTCAATGGCAACGCTTCACCGGTTATCCCTAGAAGAACCTCGCACGACGGAGGCACACTCGAAGGTCACCCGTTGGCCTTCTTGCAGACTCGTGACAATCCGACGACACAGCAGAAGGGCGGTTCAAGTACACAAGCTTTCGCTGCGCCCAGTCCGGCGCCGATCATTTCGTCATCGTCGTCGTTGCCTTCAACACTGAACGTAGATGCAGAGCCAGTAGGTGGTCGACGACCGGGGCAAGAAGTGGTGGGCACAGAGAAGGACGCAGCAAAAGAGAGAACGAAGGAAGTGAAAGGCACAAGGACATCCCTAGACCCTGCTGGGGCAAGACATACACTACCCTCCATTCGCACCACCTTTGGAGCAGCACCTAGCTCGTCAGATGGACAGGGCCAGCAATTGGGCGACAGGTCGCCGGGCGCTCGATCCGGATCACCATCAATGTCTTCGGCCCAGTCGCAACACACCTACGCCTCTGCTGATCATCTCTGGGGCCTGATGCAGAGTGCGATGAGCCTGAGCACGACCGCACCACCTTCGGCAACGAGTTTGGTCAACGACGCCGCCAGAAAGGAAGAGCTCTCAAAGTCACTCTCGGTGCCCGAGCAAGAGACCAGCGTCGAGCGTCCGCCAATATCTTTGCGAGCTCAAGCTGACATCAACGAGCGGTCGCTGCTGCGTAGCTCGAGCGTGGCAGGGCCCGAGTCCAGGGAGAAGAGCGAGGGAGCTGGTGCCGCAGAAGAGGCGAGCAAAGCTTCGTTCATCTCTGCCCAAATGCTCCTCATGCGGCTGCAAAGCTGCCGACAAGGTGAAGTCATCGAGCACAGCAAGTAAGTCGCGGCGTCGAACGACGCCCAGCGTGGCTTTAAAACTGCTGTTGAACACTCGACATTAGTGCAGACTCGCTATCATCCGCAGCGCCTCGCGGCACCAACCACGACGAGGAAGACGAGGCAGAGGCGAAACGTGGCGATGAATCGGACGGTCTCGTCGGAAAAACCGCGTCGAAGTCGTCGGAGCAGCGTGACGACGCGTCTTGCCTCCGAGGCATTAAATCTGTTGCGGACGCCGACACTTCGTGGCGGTACACCGGCATTGCCAGTGCAAATGGTCCAGATTTCGGATATCTCGACAGTCGACCCCCGCGAGCGAGCGATCCCATGAACTGGGACTTGGCTGCTGCAGTCGCTGCTTTTCCTGCAAGCTCCGGTGAGTCGTACAAGCCTGAGCCATTCGCTCGGTTCCATGCTCGGAAATCCGTGCTTACAGTCCTTGTTCTCCTCCTCTTCCCTCTCCTCCTTCTTCTCCTCCCTCTCCTCCCTCTCCTCCCTCTCCTCCCTCTCCTCCTTCTCCTCCTCCCTCTCCTCCTCCTCTTATTCCTGACATCTCCCATGCAAACAAACGGAAGCCTCGACGTCATTGTTGTCCCATGACGATGGCATACTCAAGCCACAACGGTTGAGCGGCGATTGCAGCTCCTCTAGCCAAGACGATTGCGTTCGGGGAACGTACGTCCCAGACCAGCAGACACACCTTGCACAGATTGACGTCAAATTACGACATTCTTCCCGTGTCCACTCACTCCGCAACGTCAACCAAGCGGGAAAGGCATTATCACCGAAGTCCGATCCCACCGCGTCTTTCCCTAAAGGCAGGCCTCCTTCTTCTTTCCCTTCTTTATCAGGGTCGTGGCCCCAACCGTTGGCCGGCAAAGAGTCCACTTCCTCCACGGCCAACGAGTACGCCTCTCCAGCAACATCCACCACTCACTTCGATCAATTAGCAAGGGCAGAGCCCCTCATCTTGATCGTCTTGCGGAAGCCGTCTTCGCTCCCTTTCCCTCCTAGCAGAGGAGTACACGAAGCCGATCGCGCAATTTGCACGACCATTGGTGCTGTGCGCGTGGGCCTGCCACCGACTCCGGACAAGGCTACCTCTCACGTCGCCGAAAACTTCGAGCTCGCAGACAACTCAATCTCGCTTTTGGCTCTTGAATCATACTGCTTAGACGACATGAGCAAGCGGCGACTATCCCATGTGGTCTCGACTTCTCTCTCGGAGCCGGGTGCTTCTGCAGTGGCCGGATTGTCGTCGATGCCAGCGGCCGTTGTAGGCCGAATGGCATCATCATCGAGGCAACGACGTCGCTGGGCCAAGGACGTCGTCATCATCAATTCCTACGACGACGATGACGAGCTTGCCGAGGCACAGACGAGCAGCAGCGAGGCAGAGTGCTCTGCTTCTTACACATCCACATCGTCGTCGTCGTCCTTGCCAGTCACACCCGACAAGGGGGGTAGCCAATCCAGACATAGGTCACCACAAGCCTTCCTCGATGCGATCCACTGCCTCTCTTCCCCTCCACCTTCTTCTTCTTCTTCGTCTCCTTCCCTGTGCGATCCCCATCCTTGCCCCAAGTCGACAAGCTCCCTTTCGCCATCGTCTTCACCAGCTTCTTCATTAGCTTCTTCATCAGCACAAACACAAGAACTTAAGCGACTGCCAGTCAATTGGTTCTATGTCGAGGGAGGCATTGCCAGCCTTCGAAACACGACACCCGGTTTCGGACCACCCAACAACGCAAGACAGATGTCAGCGAGCTCCAGTTTGGCTCGATTGTCCTTGAATGGCGCCAAGCAGCAGGATGTGCCTTCTTGTAAATCCCTTGCAGCAGATGACTTTCGGCATGAAAAGTCTCTACCTGTCGGCACCTCTCCTCCTCTGCAGCCAGGCAGGAGTTTGACATTGAGATCACTCGCGACGACCGGCTGGACAGATTCTCCCATTACCAAGTCGCCCACTTGGGCAACTGAAACAAATGTCTCGTCGCCATTGGAGCTAGCCTCAGCAATTGAGGTCCCATCGAAGAAGGTTGATGTAGGATCTGGACGCCCTTGCCGGCCAACACTAGCAAGGTTGGATACCTCGGAACGGGTCAAGACGAACATGTCTCCAGCCATGAATGCTGCCAACATTTCCAAATTTCCAGCTTTTCGGGACAGTCCTGGCGTAGATCTTGGCCAGGACCCCGACACCACGCTACCAAGGCGAAGCCTAACTATCTTCGGGGTACCGCAAATCGGCCCACAATTGCATTCTACAGCATTCGTGCCCAGGAATGAGACCATTGATCCTGGCGCAGCGCAAGGTTCGCGGTCCCTACCGTCGCCGCGATCAGAGAGCGGGAGCGAGGACTCGTCGACACACAGTGGTCTACAACCACCGGAGGAACGCCCTGCGGGAAGTAAAGCCGGCACGATCTCGGTGGCGAGAGAGTCTGTCTACACCCATCCAACAGGCTCGGTGAGCGCAGCCGATGGACACTTGGCCACATTCGAGGTCTCCGAAATCATTCCGAGGTTCCTATTTGTGGGACCCGAAGTTGCCACGGCTGCCGAGGTCAGCTATCTTCGCAATGAACTAGGAATCCGTCGGATCCTCAATTGCGCCTTTGAGGTTGAACAAGGTGGTGGGCACCATCTACAGCTTGATAACCCTGGCGAAAGCGGCATCGAAGTATATAAGAAGATGCCACTCAAGGACACCGTCGAAGCACAGGACATTCAGTCGTACCTCGAGGAAGCTTGCCAGATCCTCGATGACGCTAGGATGAGTTCGTCTCCCATCTACGTGCATTGCAAGGCAGGCAAGAGTCGAAGCGTGATGGTTGTAATGGCTTATCTCATTCACGCCAATAGATGGCCTTTACAACGGAGTTATTCCTTTGTCGTCGACCGAAGGCGGTCAGTCAGCCCCAACATTGGCTTCGTTGGCGAGCTCATGGCTTTCGAGGCCACGCGTCTCGACACCACGGCGGTGAAAGTGGCCCACGACAAAACTCCATCGAGCCGCTTGCAGCAGCCTTACGACGCCAAGAATCATCTTGAAAGCGATTTGGTGATGGAGACGGGCCAAGGCTATTGCATTAAGGAGCAACATTCGCAGCTCTCATGATACCTGTCGACCACACTACATATGCCGCTCCTCCTAGCGCGATCCTCGAGCAACACTTCACGGTGGGGCAAGGCAATGATTGAGGATCTCGGACAATGAAGCACCTTGCGACACGGGTGACTCAACACATACTTCGCGCATATTCGGTGGGGAACCCAGAGAGGAATGCGATCAACACTACGCCGGCCGTCGAGCTGCGACTGCCCTTTTTGCGCGCTTCGACCAAGACCCGGGAAACTGAAAAAAAACGTCGACGTTCCTCTTCTTCTTCTGGTCTATCCTGTGTTGAAGTAGGAGATTTCCTCATTTTCAATTGTCTGATAAACAAGTCAATGTGTTTCCTGTCTATAGCACCTGACGTCGCTCTGTACCTCTTCTTTCCCTCTCTTTCTTGCTCTGCTGCCACTACTGCAGAATGTAAAAGTCTTGTGCGTATCACGAAACGATTCAGAAGGGGATAATTTGAATATACAGGTCTCAAGAGATTGAGGAGCGAACATCCTCGGCAGAGGGAGGCGGGGCGCTTCCCAGGAACATCAGAGGACAATGCAGCGACAACCTCCTGCGTCTGCTTGGTTGGCCTTGGACTTTTTGGCGGTGGTCAGCTTCTCCCCATGGCCACCTTTACTGGCTCTGTTGGCTCCACTGGAACGGATCAGCATCGAGGCCCGCGTCGCCGCTTCGAAGACATTCTAGGGCAGGACAATGCGTCAGAAGCTGCATCTACTTGGGCCAGGTTCTCGATCCTTCTCACATCGACACCCTCGTTACGAAGCGCAGAGCATTCGTGATACGACCTTGCCCCGACACGTGCCGCAATATCTCTACCCTGAGTGGACAAAGAGGTGTTTCAATGCCTGAGGGGAAGGTCTCAGGGCAGGCCGTGAGCTCACCTGCTCTTGCGTTACACATCCTGCCCCTCTGTCGTTGTCCCTGACGTCTCTCTTACATCCGACGAGCAAGACGGGTACGTGTGGACCACAGATCCTCCGCACTTCTTCGGCCCACTTGTACTGTGCATTCTCGAGGCTGTCTGGCGTGTCAATGGAGAAAGCGATGAGGATGACGTGAGCCGAGGCGTAAGAAAGCGGTCGCAATCGCTGTTGCAAGAAGGTGGTTTGCCGGCGTTAGGATCAAGAGCATTGTCAATATCTGACACATTGTCTTCTCTCTCACCTCGTACTCTTCCTGGCCAGCTGTGTCCCAAAGAGCCAGTTGTACGGGCTTGCCATCTAAGCGAATCTCGGCGACGTAATTGTCAAAGACAGTCGGCTCGTATTGCGAGGGGAATTGACCAATGGCAAAGACGCAAAGCAGCGACGTCTTGCCGCAAGCACCGTCACCGACTATGACCAACTTTCGCCTGATCGTGGTGTTCATTTGGTCCCTCTTTTCTCTCTCCCTGCTGGGTAGCGGTGTGAGGCCGGGCGTTCGAAAAAGCGTCCAGGGAGGATAGTGGAGAGGATAATCGAGGTGCGTTCAGCTGATGGTTGCGTGCCCCCTCTTCCTGTGCGCAACTTTTCAGCGCACGCGCCACCCGCCCAAAAACACCCACGCGGCACCCGGCCGAGCCTGTAGAGGGCGACCAAGCTCCACCAATGCCAAAACAAGGCATGTCGTTATCAGCTCCATCTGAAGTCACAGCCAATGGCAGGCGTCACTCGAGTCGTCCAGCCCGTTGGCTCCTTGTCGATCTGCGAAGAGTGTCCTTGTGGTTGACGGCAGAGGAGTCTTAGCAGAAACTACTACTATCGTTCCTGCAGCGAGGTGTGAGGCGCTTTTTAGCCCGCAAGACCGAGACGCTCACGGCGCATCAGGACGCTCTGCCAGTATATTCGCAGAGAAGTCACAGCCCACCGACTTGGCATCATCTCAATGTGAACTAATAACAGAGCGCTGGTTGTGTCAGGAGAGCGTATAGATAGAGCAAAGATAGTATCTCTTCCTAGATGACTCCTTGGTGACTTCGGAGTGCGTCGCGACGATCGGGAATCCGACTTGCTAAGAAGACATAGAACGTGGAATACAATCGGCAAAGCTCATTGGCGAGCGGAACGATACAGTTCCTTCACAAATGGCAACTCACAAATGGCAACTCGAGTGCGAAGAACCCAGGAAGCCAGACAGCTTCTTGCAGTTCAGTTCGTGTAAGCTGAAGCCACGAGTCAAGGACCTGGCGCATCCTAGCCTGGCTTCATGAATGAAATTCTCCCATCCCTCACCCTTACTTAGGGTGGCTTTCTTCGAAGTACGAAAGTGGGGGCTGACGAAGCGACCATTAGCTCCTGCTCACGGAAAAAGCAGTCGATCAAGACCACCAGGACAATGTCGATGACTCTCGGGTGCGCGTGCTGCCTAGACGCCGTGTAGGGCGGGAATCGGAACCGTTGAACCTTTTACTTTTTTTCAAAAGGGCAGAAGTGGGCCGACGTGCACGAACAGAAAGACCAGCACTGAGGTTGACATGTCCAACTTCTACCTTGAGGCGGCCAGCATCATTGATGACGTCGAGGGACGCAGAGGATCACTGAAGAGCCTGGCCGCCCTCCGGAGCGCCAAGAGCGGCATCGATGCAAAGAGGCTTCTCGCCCTTGCAGCCAATACACTGTCCTACAAGCGTGCGTTGACCGTCGTTCTGGACAAGGCCGGTGTATTGCGAGAAGAGGCCAAGACATTGACGGCTGCTGCAAGGCAAAGCAATGCCAGTGCTCTCTCTCTCACCCTTGTCCTCGTCCACGATCTTCTTTTCACTTCAAGAGGCCGCATCGCAGCTTCCATGTCCTGGCCCCCCAGCGCTGCCGTTACTCGTCACGCAGCTCGTCTGAAGGCGGAACTGGTCAAATTGCAGATCAAGGAGGGCAAGGTGGCGATTAAAGAACTGCGCACGGGCGATAAGAGAGCCGACAGGATTCCTCGCTGGGTGAGGGTCAATGAGCGATTGGTCAGGCCTGACGAACTTCTAGAAGCCCTTCAAGCACAGGGATGGACTCGGCAAGAAGAAGGCCAGCACGGCCTTGCGCCCAAAAGGTAAGTAGCTCCTCCAACCTGGACATAAACTGTCGTTGAATACCACTTGACCGTTCAGAAAATCTTTCATGGTCTCGCCTCACCTTGGCGGCTGCATGCTTGCATTCCACCCCTCACAAACATCGAATCTGGTGGAGCACCACCTGTACAGAGACGGCAAGATTGTATTGCAAGATCTGGCAAGCTGCTTCCCCGCCGAAATCCTGCTTTGCGAAGAAGCAAAAACTGTCGCCGACCTGCATGTCGTTGACGCAACGGCGGCACCCGGCAACAAAACTTCACATCTCAGCGCACTCTTGGCAAAACGAAAAGGACTGAGTCGGGTGCGTCCAAGCCCATTAGTGGCTACGCAATAAGCTGACAGTCAAGGCTTGGTCAGATTACGGCTTTTGAGAAATCGGCGAAGCGCTTCGCTACCCTTTGCGCTCAGCTCGATCGCGCCGGTGCCCTTTCCGGCTCGAGTCGTTGCCAGCATACTGCGCGAGGCGCAGTCACGGCCGTCCGAAGCGACTTTATGGAGGTAAATCGAGAAGAGCTGGCCGACGTGACTCATATGCTTTTGGATCCATCGTGCTCGGGTTCCGGCATAGTAGGCCGCTTAGACCAGTGAGATTGATCGAAGCGCCTTCATGAAATCGAAAGAGCCACACTGATCACGTTAAATGAAAGCCTCTCCTCCAAGACAGCTTTGCTGGACGAGAGAGAGACAGAGGAGGAGGAGCAGAGCGAAAGGTTGGCCCACTTGGCGACTTTCCAGCTTGCGATGATTGAATTCGCCATGGGGTGTGAGTCTTGCTCTTTTCGCGCAACACAGCGTAAAGCTGAGACATACCGTACATTCATCGGTTGAAGTTCCCTCTTTGAGGAGATTTTGCTATTCGACCTGCTCGACACACGTGCAAGAGAATGAAGAAGTGGTCCTCAAGGCGCTGAAGACCACTGTGGCGCAGTCCCGAGGATGGAAGCTAGCGGGGAAGAGCTCGGTCCTCCCGTCATGGCCCACGCGGGGTTTGGGAAGCGAATGCGGCTCTGAGCAAGGTGACTATAACAATGCACTTTCGTCCAAGGACTACTGATCTCAAGGCTTTTATATGCAGGACTGGCCGATGCAATGATTCGCTGCGATCCGGGAGGTTCGATGTCAGACGAAGCAACCACAAATGGACATGCACAATTGGAAGCAACCAATGGATTCTTTGTCACCTGCTTCGTAAGGGAGTCAGAGAACAAAAGCCGCGAGAAGAACAGAAAGCGAAAAGCTAGGGCCAAAGTAATGAAGGCAATCAAGCGACAGAAAGCTTAGTCCATTGTGTGTCCCTACCGGAGGTTGCCTCTCCCTTTGCTGTTTGTACAATAATAGCTTCTCAGGTGCGCAATCGTTAATTTGAAGTCTATTGAGCCGCCAGATATCACGGTGCTGTAGACTCTAAGCGCTTCATGTCCTCGTCGGCGTAGAAAAAGTACTGCTCGACTTCGTGGCACTTTCTTTGCGGTTGCCTTTGGAAGAGCGACTTCTGTACAGGCGCGACCATTCCAGACAGTCTTTGAGGCGCCAATGATCGTGGTCTCCAAACGATGTTCCATGCCTAGCTCCAGCACACCGTCGCCGATCGCCATCTTGTGTTTGCAAGGTAGCTACCTGTTTCATGTACAATCATCAAATTATCACATATTCTCAAATAGCGTCTTGATGCGCTCGAGCCCGCTGATCACTGCTCTCATATACTATTACTGCCCTTGGTTGCTGGCAAGTGCACAGCAATCGACAGGATCTCTGTGTGCGCGAGGATTGCCTCTTGATCCTATCTGAGAAGATGTTGGCACGTAGCGCAACGAATAGCAATCTTCTACTTCGACATGGCGAACGATGAGACTCAGCAGTCACTGAGAGATAGCGATACCTCGGGTGCACTCGAGTTAAAAGAGGAGCCATACTTGGTATAGCGGAAGTCCATTAAGAAAGAGTCTCAGCTCCGAAAAGGCTCCCGACTGGAGGGGTCTCCCTTCCTAGAGCTGTACTCTCGCGGGCGGGTCAACCTGCGTCTCGAGGTTGCACAGACGCGATTCGGATGGCTCCGACCATGGGAAGCCCTTTCGTCTGCAACATGATTGTAAGGCAAAGGATAGCTTGGTATGACACATTCCTTCTAGGCCCGATGTCTAATTCATCGAGTTTTTCATCGGTCAGCACAGAGAGGAAGAAATTACGATCGCGTATCAGATGACAGAATACAAATTGGTTCAGACCGGATATGACCCTTCCGTGCGCCCAACGTTCGAGCTGCTCATGGTGAAAAGATCGCCCTCAAGCTCCCACGAAGTACGATTCCTGAGCAACCTGCTCCAGAATCTCATAATAGGATCCCATTCGGAGAGACCTTGTGGCATTGCCTCCGTTACGCCTTCTCGCACGGGGCCCATCGATGCTTGCTCAATGTTTGCGAAGACTCGCGAGAGCGACGACGTGACGACTTCCGATTTGGAAGGAGAAGCGCCGAGGCGATGAAAGTGAAGCAAAGGCGTGCTCACAGCCATCTTGGATGTTGGATGTGAAAGAAGGTTGCCACATATGCTCACGACACTGCCGAGCTCTTGCTTGTCGTCCGCCACTTGCCCGCTATGCACAGTACGCTTCGTCCAGAAGATGGTGCCTTCCAACGCCGCGCTCGCTCCTTGAGCGAAGCCAAGCAGATGAATTGAGCTGGGGCGCCAGCCACAACCGCCATTATCTTCAGGCGTGATAAGATGCTCGAGAAGCCCTGCAAATGCCTGTAGAAATTGACTCGGATTCGGATTGGCGACCTCTGATCACGGTGCCCCAGCTGAGCCTCCATTAGAAGAGCCTGCGAGTGAGATAGACTCACCCTGTCCAAGCATGTCGAAGGATTCCCACCAGCACCACGCCTCCTGTCCAATGCCCATCAAAAGAGGGATTGGTGTGCCTGCGCGAAGCGCAAGAACAGCTGTTTGTGGCAGCGTCTTCTGTAGCGATTCTCCAAGCTTCAAGAAGGGGAGATGGGTATCGCCAAGCCCATGTAAGAGGACGAGGAGGTTGGAATCGACATTAGATGGTGAGCGAACGTACTCATATGATAGTGGCGAGATCTCGATGGAAGGGGTAGCTTTTTGGACCGAGTCACTTTTGACAGGTCGGGCATCCATCACGGCGTCCAAACCAAGTCTTCGATAGGAGGCGGTGCGCGTCAAAATTTCGTTCACTACGCGCAAGCACGTGGTGTCCGGCAACGATCTACACCAACAATCTGCGCCAAGATGACAGCTAAGGATGTTGTAGCGTCTGGTAAGGGGTTTTCCCGAAGGAAGGTGCTGGCCCGCATTGAGGTGTCTGCTTTTCTTTCCAACTTTGGACCAATTCTTCGTTTCTTCGAGCTGAGCGGAACTGAGAAAACCCCCCAGGCGGTTCTCGAAAGCGACTTGTGTTTGAGGGAGCCGTGTATCGTGGCAACAATGGAGGACGTCCAAGTCTTAGTGCAGTCTACGACGGCCCCATGCTTCTGCATGTACGGCGCAGCCCAGATGTTGAGCATCGCCATTCGACAAATGCTTTACTGATGCTTGAGCAGAAAGTCGCAGGGGTCGAGTGTTTCAGACGCAGACAGGTCAGAGTCAATCAAGTAACGACAGAGGAGATCTGAGCGAGCAGATATGCTTCATTGCTCCTTAACAAAGTGAAGAGAAGAATAACACAACAGTAGTCTCATGCCAATCTGATGGACTACTGTTGTGTTATTTTTCTCTTCACTTTATGATCACCGTTACATTGCAAAGCGTCCGATGGCATGAGTAGAAAGAATATAAACCGCGCGAAGAGGTCTGAGAGCGCGTCAGACGGCGTTTGTCATTCTTAAATTGATGCGATTTTTTTTTCATTGGGAAAAAAAGCCTGAATTGTCGTTAAATTTATCACTTTATTGACGAAATTTGCCACCGCGTCCATCAAAAGTACATTTTCGTGGCTCTCAGATTTGTGCGGGGGGCAAAAGTGCGAACCTATAAGTAAGTGCCGAGACCACGCCAGTACCACACGATAATCTGAGACAAGCTCTGCTGCTGTGTGAGAAGGTGAAGTCGAAGGGCTGAGCAGAAATGCTGTCAAAGGAAAGAAAAAATTTGAGCTCTCCCGCTGAAGGCTCGGAAGATGCGTATTTCATCGTTGGAGGTGATAGCAAGGTCAAGCCCGGGTCTGTGCATCGATTTCCTGCTATCATGCGGATCTAGTTGTAACAGGATGTGCTTTTTCGTTTTTAGGGTTGGCGTGCATTATTTTGGAGCACTTTCCGTCGGTCCACCACTCCACCACATAAGATGCTTTCGCCACCTCTCAATTTCAACAAGTGGGTCGAAGAGAACAAGCACAAGCTTCAGCCTCCAGTGGGCAACTTTTGCCTCTTCAAGTCCAAGGACTATACCGTCATGGTTGTCGGTGGGCCCAATGCCAGGTCCGACTACCACTTCCAGCCCACCGAGGAGTTCTTCTACCAGGTGAATATTCGGCATTCGGTATTTTTCAGCTGGACACAAGGTCTGACTTGGAAGTCCAACTAAGGTGAAAGGGGCGATGCTTCTCAAAGTGGTCGAAGATGGGCAATTTAAGGATGTCCGAATTGGCGAGGGCGAAATGTTTATGCTTCCTGGTTAGTGGTCTTCAAGGCGTTTTCGGGATTGGTCTCAATCCGCCTTTCCTCACGGCTTTTCAAAAGCGAACACACCTCACAGTCCTTGTAGATTCGAAGACACGATCGGGCTCGTAGTGGAGAGGACGAGGCCTGCGGGCGAGGAAGGTGAGTTCGCTTCTACTTTGCAGCCTTCTCATCATCATCTGACATACAGCAAAATTTTGCAAGATGCCATGCGCTGGTATTGTCCTAACCTCGCCGCTCACGACAACCAGCCACACGTTGTCAAGGAATCGCGCTTCTTCTGCACCGATCTCGGTACTCAGCTGAAGCCCGTCATCGACGCTTGGAAGAGTGATGCGACCGCAAGGAAGTGCTCATGCGGCTACGAACAAGGCGAACGAGAGCTCATCGGAGAGCTGAGGGTCTGATTGACGGAATTCGTTACTCAATCTGTGTGTCTTTTGCCCGATGTACCGTCTCAGCCAGCACTCATGAGGGCCTCAATATGGATTGAATCCAAACAACGTGAAAATAACCCCCTCCTTTCCCCCTTGAATTTTAATCGTTCAAGGAGCAGGGTATGGGTCTCTCTAAATGGTAATGGTGAAGAAGCTTACGTAATGCAGCAGTGGTCCGGGTCGCGCGGTTCATGAAATTTGTTCTTACGCGTGCTGAAGGTTATATCCTTGCTTCTGACAAACGTATATAACCTAGACGGGAAGCATCTCGTGGATGGGATCACGCCTCGAGATCCTCAATGCCGGCAGGCTGCGCCTTGATGGTCGAAAGCCCCTGGAATTCCGATCCTTGGCCATTGAGGTTGGCTCATCCTCTATTTCGTCGCCTTCAGTCCTCTCGCGTCCGGATGGTTGCGCCCGCGTGCAGCAAGGCCTGACCAGCGTTCACGCTTCTGTTTACGGGCCTCGTGAGGCCCGAAGCCGAGGATCCACGCTGCACGATCGAGCCATTCTCGATGTCGAAGTCGAGGTAGATCCCTGGAGTGGGCGTGAACGTCGAAAGCGATCCAAAGGTGACCGGTATGTGCTACACTCCGAAACGTTGGTGATTTCTCTGACTTCAGTTCTTCGTTTGCACGACGCAGACGCACCACCGAAATAGAAGCAGCCATCAAAGCGACATTCGAGCCTGTGCTCCATCTGCATCTCTTCCCTCGCTCCGAGGTCAGCATATTCGTGACTGTCGAGCATCAGGATGGAGGTGAGCAAGCACGTTGGCATCCTCGATCTGGCATTCCTGCTGATTGCCGACGCAGGAGTCTTGCCCTGCGCTATCAACACTGTCACCCTCGCGCTTCTCGATGCTGGCATTCCGATGAGCGACTACGTGCTGGGAGTGTGCGCAGGCATGCATCTCGCCAGCAATCAAACGCTCATCGATCTCTCGGCCCTCGAGGAAGGTTCGTTGCCATCCCTTGTTATTGCGTATCTTGCCCGCAGTAGAACGGTCACGCTCGCCCAGCTGGAGACTCGCATTCACGCAGACGCACTTCCAGGGCTCGTCAAGATCGCCGGTGATGCGTGCGCCGGGGTGCTACTCACAGAAATTGATGCTGCAATGCGCGCCCGGACAAAGAAGCTGGCGGAGGCAATGGGTGGCAAAGGTCCACCGTACAACGTCGCTGATATCTCTCCCGACGACAGCCGTTCTGGCATTGAAACAAGTTGAAATCAGAGGGACAGCGGCAAGTCCAGCATGTACTTTATGTGATTGCAGATGCAGTAAAAGTTGCAAAGTTGTGTGACAGAGCCGTATAATGGAAGAGAAAAAGTGCGTAGGACTAGCAGCAATAGCGAGGTGAGCAAGCGCTCATGCGAGGTACTGTACGCTCTTAGTGGTTGCGCCATTCAACGAGGCCTCGTCAGATCCTGGAAAGCGGATTCGATGCAGGCCTTGATCTCCCCAAAGCTGACAACCAGACAACTCTGTTCGTCTCTGCTCGTCAGGACGATCCGCTCTTCGCTCCCTGCGTCAAGCTTGTTGAGATTCGTCAAGATATGGCTGAGGTCAACAACGGGCCGTCCAGCCTCGTCTATGGCGTGGAAGACAAAGTCCCTGAAGAGCTTTATGACGTATCGATCGCCCGTCTCTGACCAACGCGGGTCGTGATCGAATCTGCCAGAGTGTGGTCATTTTAGTAAAGTGTTGCGGCACGCTAGTAGCCATGGCTACTCACTCAGGTCGCTCATTGATGAAGCCAAATTTGCAAAGCAGACGAACAAGACGAGCATTTTCCAGCTCCTTGGTGAGGGCGCTATCGAGCAGGTCGCTGTAGTTGAGAGCGCTGTCGATCTCGTCAGCCATGTGGGGCGCTAATAGACGTGTCAGCTCGTCGGCCGTCTTCTGCGTCTGTTGCGTGGGTTTGGCCAGAAGCCAGACAACGAGTTTCTTGAATTCGGACGAATAGGTTCGAGAAATCTGCTCGATAGACTTGGACACATTCTGTTGGGTGACTGTCGTCATGCTGTTGCACGCTAACGAGACCAGAAGTCTCCCAAGGTCGAACAAGTCTTCGCTCTGTTGCGTCTGCCGTCCTTGATGCTGATTGGCGTTGGGGTCATAGGTCAGGACGTCAAAGATGGAGCAGCAATTGATGCGAACACTAAAACACCCAGCAGTGAGCAATGGCTTGGGCAATAGACGAATCAATCGCCACGCACCGATTTTTGCCAGTCCTCAGCACTTTGCTCGGCTCAATGCATCGAGCTGCCATGCCGTGCTGGTGGATGCATCGAATGGCATTGGTTAGTTGACAGGCATAGCTCCATAGCGTCCGCTCGCTGATGTGCATGTGCATAGATTGCATTCTGCCTGTTCTCGGATCCGGTTGGGGTGGCTTGGGTACCATGTGCTCTCCATAAAGCGTCGTCGCTAACGGGTGATAATCATAGACGAAGACGAGGGCTGAAAGAGAGCGGATCAGCGCGACGAAAGACATCAAGGTCTTGTACAGATTACTCACAGTGGTCGCCAAATGCTCTGGTCGTGAAGGCTTCGCGGACACTTGTGATGCTGGGATGCCGAATCTTCCTCCAATTTTCGACGAGACCTATCGCAGCTTCATGGCTGAGCCGGTAGTCTGCCAATCGCCGAAGGACATACGCCTTGCCATCGAGGTTGCACGTTGCCTTGTAGACGTAAGTCCGCAGGCCAAAAACCTTGGAGATCATGCCAGCGCCACCGGTCAATTGCAAGACATTGCCCGGTGCGGTCGGTGGAGTGACGCGTGGATCAATGAGCTGAGATACGAGGCCGCCAAGAGGACCGCCACTCGTCGTCGAGGGCTCCAAAGGGACGAGGGAATGGTAGACATGGAGCTCGTCGGGAAGACTTGGACCGCCAAATTCTGGTCTTGCAGCGTTTGCGTAAATGGCATCGTTCTTGCGTTGCAACTCCTCGCGATGATCAGGGCTCAGGAAGAAGGCATGAGCGCTGAGATGTTGGGGGTGCAGATTCGAGACGTGGGGCAGGGGTGGATTGTAGAGATGGTATTGGAGAGGCTGACGGACCTTTGCGTGGCCAGGCGCTCCTCCGGCTCCCATGGCACTCGCACCGCTATGGCCACCTCCACCACCTCCAACAGCACCGCTTCCGCCGCTGCCTCCGCCGGCACCTCCGCCGGCACCGCCAGCACCAATACCGAGACCGCGTCCCGGCGTTCCGTAATAATCAAGGCCCTGGGTCGGCATGCCATTGATACCCAGGCCAGAAGATGGCTCACCGAACTCGTTCATGTGTTCGTAAGGATTAAACACCCTCGTACTTCCTCTGCTGCTATGGGCGGCACCGGTAGGGGCACTACCGGTCGAAGGGGTCGCGGGTCCCGGCATGTACTCCTGGTTCGAGGTAATTGGCCCCATATACGTAGGATCAAAGGCGCTGTTCTATTACACAGAATGCGCCTTAGCTCGTCATCTCCTCAATGCTGTGAAATGACTCTCGACTCACCATGCCGTCAGTATCGTAACCACCACTCAGGCCAAAGGAATTTGGCGTGCCTCTTCCACTCTCATTGTTATGCGGATAAATGCCCACCTGTGGACCTGAATTGTAGGTATTGAAAGACCCATGAGCCGGTGGCTGCTCGAAGCTGATATCCTCCGGCACCTGGCCTGTGCCACTGGTTCTCCGATCGTCTGGCTCCGGAGCGCTACTCCCATATTCGTACGATGAGGAGGAGGAGGAGGTTTGCGCGGCTGCAGACTTTGGGACAAAAACGGCTGCAGCGGCTGCGCGCGCAGACAGAGCGCCCTTCATAGGAGAGGATGACGTCGAATCTCCTGGCAACGCTCCGCTGCTGCTGCTGCTGCCGCCCCCACCTCCGAGTGCGCTTGCAGTTCTCAACCCCGTATATGGAGACGAGGCAGATGGAGATGGCGCCGTCCTTGTTGCCTCTGCGTCCTCACTCTGCTCTGTTCCTGTTCCCGTGGCGGCTGGTGCCACGATAGGAACGGCCCTCGATCGCAGACTGGGCATGCTTGGCGCCTGTGTATTTGACTGTTGCTGTTGTGACGCAGGATAGAATGGTGGAGGCGGCCGGCCAGATGGCGGGTGCCTGAACATGATGCGTTGGTTTGACTCTTGACGCAGCTGCCGGCCTCGGTGTATCGTCGTCAGGGTTTCCAGTAGTGAGAGATCGGCCCGTCGCGTCGTTGCACGTCTGCTTCACGTGGCTGACTTTCGTGTTACCGGTAGTGCGATCCCCTGGGGTAGCGGCGCCTTCACACGACAGATACGAGCCTGCAACGCCGGCTGGCAAGTGCAACGGACAGATCTTCGAATCATGCCGCCTCGCATCGGGGGTGTAGCGCCTAAATGTGCGAAATGCGACAAGTCAGTGTACGCGGCCGAGCAAGTCATTGGTCCGGCTTCCAAGATTTATCATAAGCCCTGCTTGGCATGCACAATATGCGGTCGACGGCTCGATTCATCTCTCCTCGTCGATCACGAGGGGCAGCCGATGTGCACCAACTGCTACAAGGCGCATCTCGGCCAAGGCAAAGGAGGTTTTTCCACCTCTGTACCGCTTCGCCCGGCAATCAAGGCCACCTTAGACTCCTCCTACACCCGGTCGCCACCTAAGACGGCTTTTGGCGGCAAGGCCTCGACAGCACCGAGCGGAACTCCATTGTGCGCTCGATGCGCAAAACCTGTTTGTGAGTACGCTTTATCTTTCTGTGCGTTGTTTTCCATCGTTCAAGCAAGTTTCGTCGCCAGATTTTGCCGAACAAAAGCAGGCGGCCAACCGGAAGTGGCATCGCGGTTGCTTGCGCTGTGATGGTTGCTCCTCCACCCTCGACTCGGGCAGGCTTGAGGAGGGGCCGGCCGAAGCAGCCAATGGCGCTGATGTGCAGTGCAACATATGGTGCAGAACATGTTACGCCAAAGTAGGTCGAATCTTCGACAGTGCAAGGCTTTCTTGACTTACGTTCTGCCACATCGTGTTACACAGAGATTCGGACCCAAGGGTATCGGTGTAGCTGGGATGTCATTGCCTGAGATGCAGAGGTAGACCTATTCTGCACTCTCATGTCCTCCTTCTCTTGTGAATGTGCTTGTATTATTCGACCCCCTCCTTGGCTCTGCTATCGCCCTGCTTTGACCCTTCCTCTTTGCGCAATACAGCCGATCTCGACTGGTTCCTCTTGGCAATCACACGCTGTGTCCTTTCCCTTTCGGCTTCTGTCATCGCATGCCAATTGTGAATGCGCGAGACGGTACCGTCTTGGTTGATCTATGGATGCGAATTAGACGGACTCCTGTCTTTCGTTCCACGATTAGCAACTCACAATCATCGGACCCAGATGTTCGAGCCTGAAGCTGCCTTCGTCCGCCGAGGAGGCAGTCTCGTCGCTTGGCGCCGGCAATCCAAGCGGCGGACCTTTCTGATCCTTTCCCTCCTCTCTCGTAGCATCGTTGCTGTGAGATTCGTTCTTGTCTGGGACCAGGTGTCTTGGAGGGAATATCTGAACACCAGACATTGGTAAACAGATTGCAAAAGTGGTAGAGCAGTGGTAATGGTCGTGGTGTAGCAGTAGCAGCTGTTTGCTGCAGATCATCACCCTCCACAACTTTTGTCAGGTTTTTCAGGTGCGAGAAAGATCGACGGGACGCGCGAGAAAATGACCACTTCATCGATTCAGGGTGGGTAGGTAGAAACAAGGTGGACGACCACAGAGCGAATGAGATAGGATGGACAAATAGCAAGACAAAAAGTCACCTGTGGCTAGAGGCGGTCACGCTCGTTGACATGCCGAAAAGTTGCCGACGAAGGCGTGGGAAGGCCGGAGCCGGGAGCCCCAAAGAGGTTGAAGGAGCTGGCCATGCCCGGATCATGCTGCTGTTGCTGTCCAGGGCTGGGCTGTTCAAAGGCGAACCGAGCACGATCCCATCCCGACTGCGCTCTAGACCAGGGGTCAGTGGAAGAAGGCCCAAATGCGCCGCCTCCGACAGGGCCGATATTCGCGCCTCCGCTGCCACCAGCGCCACTTCCACTGCCAATGCCAAGACCGGATGCGGTGGGCGATGTCAGGCCGCCCATTATATTGGAGATTGGGCTTGAAGCTCCTCTTTGAGCAGTATTCGAAGATGAGCCTCCATGTGCAGCGTTGGAGGAAGCGAATGACGGTGCCCAAGGCGAGGGACCAGCAAACGTCGAGGAGGACGCTGCAGAGGGGGGTCCACTTCCTACGCTGCCGCCGCCACCACCGCCGCCGCCAGGTGCAGAACCATGTACAGAGCCAAAGAAAGATGATGTTGGCGCTGAGGGACCTATTGCCGAATTGTGACCCGTTCTCCTTGGCTGCGGCTCCACCACTTCATCGTCAGCACCAAGTGCAGAGCTGCCCAGTATGCCCTCGGGTAGCTTAGCATGGCTTAGGGCTGAGCGCGATGCTGCAATCCCTGTACCAAAATGTGATGACGACGGTGTGAGACTCGGACCTCCACCAAAATTGCTGCTTCCGCCAATGGGTCCACCAATGGGTCCGCCCATGGTCGCGCCAGCAATGCTACCGCTGCGGCTGTTGCTGCTTGAGCCCATGTCATCGTGAGACAGGTCGCGATGGCGTCCAATTGGACCGATAGGACCGATGGCCGATGGCCGGCCGATGGCGCCAGCCCGTGGCGAAGACCGGAAGGCATGCTCGTCCAATTGACCTCCAGGGGTGGAGGGGGGCTGAGGAGCCGTCACGGAAGTGGTGCGGGAATGGCTGGGAGGAGGGCCAATTGGTTGCTGGTGGCCACCAATGGCTGAATTCAGGGCACCCAAGTTGAGCGAGGCGAGCGAAGCAGTGGCCGACGAGAGGCCGGGCGATGCCGAAGCCAATGCCTCGACGCCCGCCTTGTTGCCCATGCTCGGCATCCCTAGAGGTCCGTAGGTAGCGTAAGCTGGACTTGGCCCTCCATGAGCTGCTGCTGTTACCGACGAGGCAGAGGGTGAGCGAAGAGGAGGTCCAAATTGGCTGCTCCCGTACCGCGGTGAGGGCAATGCCATGTGTTGCTGGCTGGCGAGGCCGACCGGCGGCTGCTGCTGCGGCTGTGGAGGTTGAGCAAAGGGCGACGATGATGGTGGCGTCGATGAGCTTTGCTGCAAGCCCTGCTGATGCTGCTGATGACCAGGAGCGGTAGAATGAGGCCCAAGTGAGGACTGCGTGGGCGGCGAGGTGGTAGCACCATTGGCAAGTCCGACTGCAGAAGGCGTCGAAGAAACGTGAGGTCCTGCCGACAAGGGAGCAGCACTAGCAGCAGCGAGCCCGCTGCTACCTGCCCCACCTGGAGCGGCTAGAGGTGGCCGTGGGAGTGAGGTTGAGGAAGGGGCGGATAGCGGTGCGCCATGGCCATGCGACGACGAAGGAGCAGGACCAACAAGAGACGTTGTTGGTCGAGGAGGCAGTCCTTGAGGGGGGGCAGGCAGCGAAGACAAAGAGGTGGCGGCCAGAGGAGCAGGACCATTAGAGCCGCCGCTAGTAGGGCGAGCAACGCCCGGAGGTGGATGAGGGCGGGGAGTCGGGCCAGTGGGTGCCACGCGGCTATGGGCACCGCTGGGACTGGGCGAGGAAGGCGGCAGTGAGGAGAGGACACCAGCGACTCGGTTGCTGCGGTGACCAGCAGCAGACTGCGGTACTGCTGACGCTGGTGATCGCGGTGCAGTTGGAATCGTCGATCGGCTGCTTGGGGGGGACGCAGCATCGTTATCGGACGTCGCATTGTACGGCAAATTGGCTTCAGACAAGGCTGCGCCAGCAGCTGGACGGGGAGGAGTGGAGATCTTCTTGTTCGATGGTGCAGAGTGAGCGGGAGACGAAGAGGTGGGAGAGGAGGAGGAGGAGGAGGCAAGGGCTTCTTCTGCCTTCTTACCCGTCTCCTCTCTAGCCTTTCTCTCTGCCGCCTCTGCTTCCCGCTGTTCCTTGGTACGTTTGGCAACCTCCTCTGCCTGCGCCCTTCTCTCCCGTTCCAGTCTAGCTTTCTCGTCCTTCTCGCGCTTTTTCCGTTCTCTTTCGGCATCCCTAGCTCGTTCCTCTTCCTGACGTTTGCGCTTCTCCTCATCTTTGCGAATCTTCTCCTCAAGCTGCGCCCTTTTCTCGGCCTCTCGTCTCAGCCGAACTTCTTCCTGGCGCTTGAGCTCGGCCTCGCGCTGTTTCTCCAGCTTCTCCTTTGCGGCAGCAGCCTCGGCAGCCTTCTCGCTTTCGAGACGCAACCTCTCCTCTTCTTTTTGCTGCTTGGCCTGCTTCTTCTTGTCCTTCTTTTTCTGATTCTCTTTCTGCTTCTTGGCTTCCTTCTCCTTCTCGGCCTGATCCTCGGCCTCAAGCTCGCGAAGAAGCTGAAGTTGACGTTCTTGGGCAATCTGCGTGCAAGACGGAGTCTGAGCAAATAACAGTCTACTTTGGCAGCCTGCGTTACCTCGCTCACCTTTTCCCTGTACGCCTGCAGGACCCGCTGTTCGAACATGCGCGCAGCAAAAATCTGGAACATGCGCCGGCCTTCCTCCATGCGCTATGTTTGGACAGGCAGGAAAGGGCAACAGTTTAGCAACGGTGAAGACGCAATGCGACAGCTAGTTGCCCACGTACCGCTTCAGGGTCCTCGTCATCTTCGACTTCATCATCCTCTTCCACCAACTCCTCTTCTCCTTCCTCGTCTTCTTCGTCCACTTCCTCTTCCTCGTCGACATCAACGTCTTCGAACTCCTCATCCAACTCGTGGGCTTCTACAATGGCCCGGACCTCGTCCTCTCGAATCGAACGACGCTCAGCCAGCTGCTCCATCATCTCGAGGAACTTCTGCCCATCGTTTCTGAGAAGGTCGTCGGCGACAGTCAAGATGCCTCCTGGTCACAATCGGCCCAGAGAAGAGCCGGTGAGGTAAGCGAAGGCAAGCGCAAGGGGAAGAAGAGAGGAGAGGAGAGGAGAGACAAAGAAAGAAAAAGGGGGCGGCCGCGAGCCGAGTTAGTCATGCGATGTTCATAGGAAGAGGGAAGAGGGGCAAGGGGGAAGAGAGATGAAGCAAAGTTGATGACCCACCCTTGACAGTAAGCGAAGAGCCGAGGTTGAAGAACGAATCGCCGCTGGAGTGAGCCTTGCTCGTCGCGTTTGCAGGCCGGCGACGACCAGAACTAGCCTTGGTCTCAGGCTCATCGAGGTCTTCGTCATCCTCTTCGTCCTCTTCGTCGTCGTAATCATCTTCATATTCATCGTCTTCGAGATCCTCATCGTCGTAGCCCTCATCGTCATCGGGAGGAAGCGATGTCACCTTCTTACCGGTCGGCGCCAGAGGTTGCGGTTGGCCAGCACCTCGAGTTTGAGTCGCACCTCGTGCCGTCGCCGACGATCGCGAGAGGGAATTCCCGCCAATGACGGCGCCCGTGCTGTCCAAGGCCACGCTACCAGGAAATGGACCAGGCCCAGGTGGGGGTGGAATGGTTCCTCCGCTGTGAGCATACTGCTGTTGGTGGCTGGCGTACTGCTCGAGCTCCACGTAGTAGGCCTCGTAGAGGACGTCGAGCTCGTCCTCGATGGCGTGTCTTTTCCTGCCACAGACACGGCAGGAGCAGAGGTGCTTCTGCTGCTCCTTCATCCTACGAAGGACCGCCTCCTTCTCCACCTTCAACAGCGATCGTCGTTCCTTGTCATTGAGACACAGCCAAAATTCCTTGATTTTTTCGCGCTCTTCTGCACTGCTTGATGACCAGACTTTTGGTGCCTGCTGAGGCTGCTGCTGCTGCTGCTGCTGCTGCTGCTGCTGCGTCCGATCGACACCACCAGTGACAACCCCGTTGACGGAGGCAGGGCCTCCAGGGTGACCAGCGGCAGCCACCGACGCCGTCCGTTTGCCCAAGCCTCCAGTGGCCGCTGCTACGGCGCCGTGGCCGTGGCCGTGGCCGTGACCGTGACCGATGCCGTTGGCCGATGTGGGGTGACGACCGCCTGCAGGCGCCTTTCCGGCAGCTGTAGATGAAAAAGTCATTGGCTGCTTGCCTGCCGCTCTGGAGCTCGGCGCTGGTGGGGCCGTTGAAGTAGTCCGGTGGTTGTTGTTGCTCGCCGGGTGTAGGGCATTGACATTCGATGTCGGAGCATTGTTCTGTATCGTCGCTTTGGGATTCGCCAGGCTCTGAGGGGACAGGAGAGGCGCCAATGGTGGTGGCGGGGGAGGCGGCGGTGGTGCAGCAGCCAGATCGGTGGCCCCGCTTTTCTTCTTCTTCTTTTTGTTCTTCTTCTTCGTCGAAGTCTGTTCGCCGCCGCCGCCACCACCGCCGCCACCGCCGCCCGAGGGAGGAGCCACGAGACCATTGGCACCGTTGCTGAGCGGGCCGAGGCCATCTCGTGTGCCGTCCAACGAGGCAGCCTCGTGAGCATCGAGCTCTTCATCCGAATAGTAATCGTCTTCAAACTCGCCCCTCTCCTCGCCGTATTCATTGACCAGGACCACTGGCGCCGGCAGCGGCTCTCCTGGCGGTCGAGTCGGCGGTGGATTCGGCACCGCCGCGGCGGAGCTGTACAGGGCATTTTCAAGATCGTCGTCGTGAGCCTGGTGCCGGTGGAGGTGGTGGTGATGATGATGATGGAGGTGGCTGTTGTTGGTGGCGGTGATGGTGTTGTGGCTGTTGTGATGTGCGTGAGGGCTGTTTGGTGACGAATTGGGGTGAGGGTGAAGCGGTAAGGCTTGCTCTGGATGCAGAGCTAGGTCGGCAAACACCGAAGGATCAAAGGGCACCGATGAAAAAGCCGAAGAAGGGTGCGAATTCGGGCCAGGTGGATGCTGCTGAAGGTGGCGCTGCGAAGCGTGCGCCGCCTGCGCGAGCTGCTGCGCGACGGCGATCATGGCCTGCGTCGAAGCTTGGCGTGAATTGGCGTCGTTTGTGCTGGCGACCGCTTGCGCCGATGCGGGCAGCTGACCAAGGGGAAGGGCATTGCGGATGAATGTTCTCAGGTGGGCGGGCAACGAGGTCCAGTAGGCGTCGTCGTCGGGAATCCCCTGGGGGTCCGCCTCCATTCTCCTGTACAGCTCGCTGGCCGTCGAGAGAAGGTCGGCCTGGGCCTGGGCTGTTGCGGTAAAGGGACCCGAGGGCGACTGGCCGTAGCCATGGGGGTGCAGAGGAGGAAGCGACTCGAGCCCATCGTCCGTCTTTTTCGCCTTGCCCTTCTTCTTCTTCTTCTTGGCAGCCGCCGCTGCCGCTGCCACGGCGGCCGCGTCGGCCACGAGAGCTTCGTGCGGGTGGCCTGCCAGTGACGAGGGCGCTTGACTTGGCGACTGTGTCGAAGGGGGCGAAGGAGCTCGAGGTGCCGGGAATGCCGGCGGCGGTGGCCTCGAGGAGGGAGGCTGGCTCCTTGGCGGCAGCTTTGCCTTTGTCATTGCGCCCGAGGCTTAACAGGTGCTGATTGTCACCTCGATGCCGCTGATAGCCGCGTGGGTGATGGTCGTGGTCAAAAGCAAAGAGGCTGCAAGGAGAGACCGAGACGAGTCGTTGGCGAGACGATCCTGCTTGCCAGGAGGTCATCTAAGCTTGCTTGATGCCCGTCGCCGCCTCGATGCCAACAAGATGGGAAGCGCGCCACTGATCTCCTCGTCCGACCCCGGTGTCTCCTCTCGACTGTTTTCAGCTTGCGTTGCCACTTGCTTCAAATCAAGGGATCGCAGGGTCAGGATCACGGGGATCGAGTGTAGACGGTGTGCTGTTGGCAAATTGTCAGCCGCCGCCTGCCTAGATAGACTTTGGTCAGAACGGTGAGGGTGGAGTCCGGTCCCCTCACCTTGCCTGCCCGCTCGGCCTGCCTTCTCAGTCAGTCGCCTCGCCGTCTCTCAGGTCCCTTTTGCCTCGTGGGCCAAGAGACCAAATACAAAAACTTCTCTATCCAACATTTTGTATTGCTCGAGTCTAGGCAAGGGTGGCCCACGCTGCGGACTTCCACGTGGAAACCTCTATTGCCTATGGTCATTCTCCACCACACCTACAACATTCAGCACCGTGCGCTTGGCAGACAAGCCCGATCCGCGTATCGTTAGAATCGTCGACGATCTAAGTCGGTGAATGGGTGTGAGAGAATGTTCGTGTGTGTGTGACAAGTCAGCAGCTGCATCCATGCTGATGGCTCTAGGAGTCAATGCAACGAGCCGTGATCCTCCTTTACCTCTTTCGAGGCTAGTCGTGGGGTCAGACAGCCAAGACTCACCTGTCCTAGCGATACCTTCACTTTTCTAAATACAACGCAATCAGACCATCTTCGTCTGCTCAAGACGCTGTGGAAAGAGACTCACCGTGCTCCCTTCATCCCTTTGGTGGTCATCAGAGCGTTCTTGTCAAAGGCGTAGCGGAGGCCGCCTTGGGAAGCTGCAATAACTGCCGACATCTTGCGTGGAAAGGTCGAATTGGATAAGAACTTTGTCTTCAACAAGGGGCGTGTGTATCAAGCTCACCCAATCTGTCGGATCAATTGCTGTCATGCATGATGCATTGTCAGCTTTCTTCTATCCTGGCGAGTATCTTGTGCCAATGCAACTTCACCCGCATTGAGTCCGTCGGGAGGATCGTCGATCCAATGTGTCCACCCAATGAGGGCCCAGCTGGCCAAAGCAAAGAGGACGATGGGCAGTAAAGAGAGGTAGCCGATGGTGTTTGTAGATTCTTTGAGTGCGTGACGTCAGTCACCGATCTTGGACGGGATTGCTGTCGGCCCAGAAAGACATCCGGGCCAATTACAACGATCGCTTACCTTGAGTGCTCGAGCCCCATCCTACCGTTGCCCCATGCCAGAGCCCAAAGACCCTTCGAGTACCGTTTTGCTCTGAAATCGGACCGTGGAATCCGCCACCGCGGCCGCTTTCCACCGCCATGGCCTGAAACCATTCACGCTAGAGCAAGGTCATTAAGTTAGCATCGTCTGGGTTGCATGCCAAGAAGAGTCAGTCACCTGAGATGTGGCAGAATACTCGAAGACACCCTTATCGTGGAGAAAAAAAGGGAGAGTGCAGAGACGCCAGATATGAGATCATCAAAGTCTGGATCAGGAAAAGCAATCCTTCCACATCGTACCTGGATAAATTGTGCCACTTGATCAGGTTGAATCCACGTCGTAGCTCTTCGTGCATTCATTCGGGCATTGAAGTTGGCAAGACTCTGTATGGCACCTGTCTTACCGTACAGAACCGTTCCCCAGAGGTTTGCAGGCGAGGTCAGGTTGGTGTTGGGGCTCTGCAATGAAGAGGTGTCCTGGGGGGATGTTCTCTTGGTGGCATTTATGACCGACGAAAGGGTGCTCGAGTAGACGAATGCGTGGCCGACGGCTGCCAGCGGATTTTGCACGATTAGAAGTCGAGCGTAATACGCGAAGAAGTCCCTCTTGGAGACTTCGCTGGTAGGCGAAAAAGAGTGGTTTCCAGGGCCGAGTTCGCCATCGTAGCCGCTAAGCCTATTTGGCCTCCCTTCTCTGAGCTCAGTGACGTTGATCCAGCGTCGATTGGAAACATACTGGACCAGATTGCTTGTCCACCTCGGTCGAAGCGAGCATATCAAGTCACCGCCAAGCTCCGACACAGAAGCAAAAAGCTCGGCACCTGCATCTTTGAAGTACATGACTGCGGAGAGCCGAAGAATTGTGTGAGCAAGAGCCATTCTTCTTCTTCTCTCCAGTTCTCTGCTTGGTATGTATAGGAACGGAGGTGGGAGGATCTGCGTAAGTTTGTAGGGAAGAGAACCTACCGGTAGTATCTGGATCATCTCGACCGTCTGCGTCTTTGTTTGAACACCCCCTGACAACGATAGAGTTACTCCCGACACTTTGAGAGTCGTCACATATTCAGCAGTCAAGCGTAGATGCTCAGCAACAGTGGAATATAGTGCTTACTACTGGTAGGAGATGTCCTTCCCATTGCCGCCATCCACGTTGCATTGTAAGGTAACACGGGCTAGGTGTGGCGTTTCCGTCAGCGCCACGGTGAGGATGCTTCTTTCGCGCTCGGTACGAGGCGGCCAGCACATGACATCCACCGTCAACCCCTGTTGAATCAGCTCATACGTGTGGTTGAAGCCTGCTGCCCGAGGAGCACGTCTCGGTGGCTTACGCCAGGAACCCCAAGGAAGAACACCGTCCGGTCCCAGGGTTGCAGTTCCACCCGTACCGCCTACATACGTAACACTTCCTGGACTATCGAGAATGGCAAGAAATCAGAGATAGAGCACAATTGAGATGCAATTCCGACAGAATGGCGACTCACAGCTTAAAGAGAGGCTCGTGTTCGCTCAGAGCTTCTTCCAATTTTGCCCTGCCCGCCATGATTAGTGTCTGTACATCGTCTAGCGATGGACAGGGATCGAAGATGATGCCTGGATGCTGTGCAAAAGTCCACAAGTCGGAAATGTGCTGTGCTCCGCACGACAGATTGGCCGGATTGGGAAATGTCGCCGCCTTTTATTCCCCCTCTTCACATCAGTTTTGCCTCCATTTTTCTTCATTATTCTAGACTCCTCACTGGCATAAAGGCGACTGCAGCTGCAAAGTCGCCGCTCAGTTCGTCGAGTTCAACACCGTGAAATGGAACGATGTACACCATCGGCTTGGGATAGAGGAGCGTCGAAAAAGCCGAAGGCAAGAAAGTGTTGGTAAGGAAGATAAAAAGGGTGACTGCTGGCCAAAGCGGTCTGCGTCTCGAGAGCGTATAGCCTGCGCGGAGCATCTCATTGAGGGCTGCAAATGTCAGAAGCTCTGTTCTGGGCTGCTTGTATGCCAAACGCCTCGTGGCAAAGTGAGCAATGGCATTGCCCCAAAGCAATAACGTTATCTCGCCCAAAATAACGCCGAGGAAGGTGAAGAGCTGCGTCGAAGCGGTTGGTGATGTGTTGATATACTCGGCCAGCCGATCAGGAGCACGGAGATTATACTAGACCCTGTTGAGCCCATCGCTGCGTCGCTACTTCTTGGTCAATTCAACTCACCTTGCCGCCAAAGAATTTGAAGCCCAGACACGAGATCATGAGAAGCCAGAAGCCACCGACGACGGTAAGTAGTGTCAGGACGACGTTATTCCGGTGCCTGTCTTCTTGCTCGCGTTCGCCTTCAGCTTCGCCGGAAAAGCGAAAGGATAAAACGGAAGAAGGGCTGCCCCATTCGCGCTTCGAGCTCTTTTTTATGTTGGAAATGAGTGATGCCTCTTTGTCGAGGAAATCAGCCTCGGTGTCTTCTTTTTCTACCCTTCGACATGGCGTCCAATCCTCATCAGCAAGAAAGCAACCACGAGGGCTGTAAAGCGCGAACCCCTGGCCTGGTCGTGGTTGCTGTCCTGCCTCATCTGCGCGATCATGTCGATCTTGCTGTTCTTTGAGCACGTCAGCCTCCAACAGAAGATTGATGTTGGCGCACGGGGATGTCCGTCTCCTGCGTGCTTCTAGTGAAAGCGAGACCATATAGATATGGTTGTGGTGGGAGCAACGAAGCCTTCTTTGCGGTATCTGATGGTCTTCTTGCTTCTCTTATATAATTCGCCCTTGTAGGCGTCTTTTGGTCTACGCCCAACGCCAAAACTCGAGAAGGCTCGGCTTCGAGTCAGATTTGGCCTCAGACGGTAAAAGTGTTATGTTATGTGATGTTATGTGATGTTTTGTTTTTTGGTGTTACCTCTCGTCACAATATCATATGATAGATTCTTGCTCTACCGTTGGATGAAAAGGGCATCACGAACTGACTGTAATGATGGTATACAGACACGGGATCGATATAGCGGCACTGGTGATTGACGTGCACCTCGAATGACTGCCAGTAGTAACTCCGCACTAGCTCGCGAGTCCATGTCACGATCGGATACGTGAAGAATTCGGATACGTGAAGAAAGCGGATTCCACGGCAATCCCAAGCTAGCTTATGCAAGGTAAGTGTCTGTGTCTTCCTTGGAGCAACGCATGACACTACTGCTCGATCAGCAAACATGGAGACACTTGGAAGGAAGAAGGCCTATGCTATTTACCAGCTCTGATGAAGCCCAACAGCTCTTCAACGCTAAGTCCCACAAGTAGATGAGTGATCGAGGCCAAAAGCTAGAGGCAGCGCTTGTGGTCGAGCATAACACGCTCTCATCTTTGTCCCAGAACCATTTTCAAGCAAAGCGAGGAAGGCGCCCAACCACCCAAAGTCTCGAACTAATGCGAGACTGTGTTACGACGGCAGGGATGAAGCAGCACATTTCCCCTCTTTGACGATCTAAGAGACCCTCGGAAGCCTCACCGCACTCGTTGGGGGGCGCCAATTGCTACGACACCAATACTCCCCGGCCAATACTCCCCGGCCAGATGAGCCGCCCACCACGGGCGAAACCACTAGTATTCGCCGATTTATTTGATAAGGCCCTGTCAATATCCATGCTTGGCCTCGGTCAATCTGTCACCTCATAGAGAGCCCCGTGACTGCTAGCAAACCCACCACATCAAGTTATGCTCCGTATGCTCGTAAGAATCAGTTACAAAAAAATCTTCTTTACAGCCGCCGCCCGCATTCGCAAGAGATATGCCTTAAATCACCTATTTTGCTGTGTACCTGTCGCCAACTCAGCATTTCCCGAAGATCTCTGAGCAGGCCTATGAATGGAGCTGGAAGGAGGTGGCAGCACTTGTTTTCATTGTGTCGTTCTACGTTTCAGAGGGAGCAAACACCTGGTTCCCGCATGTCTTCACAAGATGGTGTGCGAAACCTCCTTCCATGGCCGTGGCCATGGTGTTTCGGACTGTCTGAGCTCCAACTGTGGCTTGCTCCTGCTCCTGGCTGGGTAGGGTTGACCCAAGGAGAAAGGTTACGGAGCGTACAGAAAAGAAGACGTGCGAAGTGCCTTAAACTCGAGGCTTTCTTTTCCATCGGAACCAGCCAAATCGGAAATTCTCGGCACTGACGGCGGCTAAAGTAGAGGAAGGTGGAGGAAGGTGCGGTGGATGCCGACGTGCGGCCACTGGTATTCGTCGCTTGCACTACCTTGCTAAACCCGAACATACTGTTCCTAAGCTGTCTTACCCTGAGCTTGTTGATTCATCGACCGCTCAGCAAGACTGCAGTGAGGCACTACTAGTCATCACTGCGGACGACGACGTGGGAGACCGACTAGGCGAAGAATCCGAGATTTAGGGCGCACGGACGCACTCCTCCAATCTTTCTATTTTTTTCTTTCTTTTCAATCGCTCTTCTCTCTCCTTCCCCTCTCTTTCCTGGGCCGCCAAAAAAGGTCTTTTTGGCTTGTACAATTGGACGCTGGACAAGAAGCATCGTCAGAGAGACTTGCAATACAGCACGCATACTTCTGTGTGCCTTCCACAGATAATGGCTGGCCATCGATTACTCCTCGTCCATCTCTTCTTGCCCGACACGCTTCATTTTCACCAAGATGTCGATGACGCCAGCTTCAACTTTACCGCCCAACAACCCCTCGATGGCCCTGACCCAGCCAAGACGGAACCAGCCTCGCCCACGTCGCACCTGAACTCGGAACTCCTCCCGCTGCACGAGCTGGACAAGCGTCTTGCCAACTCGAACCAGTCCAACGTCGTCGCACCGGTCGTCACCGAGGAGCCCGACGAGGATGAGAACGTGGCCGTCTCGGACAGCGAAGACGAGACTTTGGTCCCCGCCCAACGCACTAAAGCCGAGCGACGAGAGGGAACCGCGCCAAGGCCGAGGAGCACGAGAAGTAGCTTCTCGGAGCAAAACAAGAAAATCAGCATGAGCACCTTGATGAACGAGGCATCCCAGGGCTCTGCCTCCACGCAGAGATCGTCGCCCTCAGAAAGGCACACGGGTTTGCCGCCGCTGCCGATGCGATCGAGGCGAGCCAGCCCCAGTGGGTCACAGAGACCACTCATAGTCACTAGTTCGCCTCCTCAGGACTCTTCGCTCCCCGTGGCGGCAGCCTCGGATCACGGCCGCGCTGCTCAGACTAGTGGAGGCACAAGCAGCCGGAGCCGACGATCAAGCTTCAACGCTGCGTCAGGTCTCCAAAGTGCTACGTCCATGAAGATGACACCGGCGAACAACGCCAACCTGGCACTGCCGTCCTCTCAGCAGCAGCAGCAGCAGCAAGTCCAACAGCAACAGCAACAGCAACAGCAACAGCATCAGCAACAGCAACAGCAACAACAACAACAACAACAACAACAACAACAACAACCACAACAACAACAACAGCAGCAGCAGCAGCCGCAGACGGTAAACAGAAACGATAGCTCGGGCACCAGGACGCCTGGGGCGCACGCTGGTGGCAAGGCAGGCACCATGACGCCTTTGAGCATCATCGGCGATCTAGCGGTGAGTGACTCCAGATCCGTCTCGCCGTTCCCCTCCCACACTCTGCCCCTCTCTTCCTTGTTATCTGAGTAAGCTCTTGTTACTCAACAGGCTAAGCAGTCTGCCATTCAACCTGCACCCACGAGCACGCCCGGTGATAGCGAGAGGCACAATCCCTTTGGATCAGGCGCCGTGACGCCGATGCGAGGCGTGCAGACGCCTGGTCAAGGCTCGCGTACTCCAGCCAAGCCGTTCATGCAGCACGTCATCAACAAGGCACCGCCTGGCCTCAGCATGACGAAGGCCAACGATGTTCAGGAAGCGCGAGCCTCGAGGCTGCTGGGCCACGAGCCGAGGTCCACGCATTCGCATTCGGCGCCTAAAGGCTTGACCAGACCTGGTCCGGGTCCCAGCAAGCTGTCCAGCATTCGTGGTGCCAGCGCTTCAGCAAGCGGAGGCCTCATAGATCATGGCCGAGGTGCTACTGCTGCTGCTGCTGCTGCTGCTGCTCCTTCGGCGTCCTCTTCTGCGCAGCACGAAGAGAGACAGCCTCGAGACGCGACCCCAGCACTCAGCTCTTCGGACGGACCCGACGAGACGCGGGGCCAGAGCCGGTCGAGAAGACCGCTGTCGTCATCACCACAGGCAGCAAGGCAGCAGCAGCAACATGGGCGCAACACGTCCCAGGGTGCTGGACCACCCTCAGCGCAGAGCTCAGTCTATTGGAACAAGAATGCGAGAAATCGATCGCAAAGGGCCAGTCTAGGCCGGCGACCATCCAATATTGGATCATCGTCTTCAAAAAATCGGCAATGCTCGAGAGACAGCCTCGATTGGACACAGCAGCAGCAGCAGCAGCATGACGATCAGCAAAACCACGAAGATGTTGTCGCTTTGCCGCCATTCGACTTTGTTCCCAATCCCTCGAGTAATGGCGGTCTGGTCAATGCTGTCAATTCGCTTCCACGCGATCGCATGCGTGCAGGCAAAGTCTTCATTGGCACCCCAGGCCTCTCTTACGACGAGTGGGCGGGCCCAGCCGAGCAGGCCTACATAAGCGATCGATTCATGGAGGAAAGAAGCAGCAGGCCTGTCTGGGTCGATGAAGAGACGTTCGAATTGGCCTATAATCACTTTGCCAAAAAGATTCTCTGGCCTGTTTTTCACTACACACTCCCCAGCGAAAAGGAGCTCGAATCGGAGCACGACAGCTTCCGACGGTACAAGGAGGTCAACAGGCTATTTGCCGACGCCGTCGAGCGAGAATATCGGGCAGGTGACATCATCTGGATCAACGATTACCATCTGCTCTTGCTACCCGAAATGCTTCGCAGAAGGCTGCCCCACGCCACCATCGGCTTCTTTTGCCACATTGCCTTCCCCTCTTCGGAGCTCTTTCGCTGTCTTTCCGTTCGTCATGAGATTCTCCGCGGCATGCTGTAAGTGATGCGCACTGGTACGTCTGGCAGACGGTGTTTCGCTGATGATAGAATACGACTCAGTGGTTCCGACCTCATTGGGATGCAGACGTTCGGATTCGCCCGCCACTTTAGGCAAACGGTCACGCGCATTCTGCAGATGGGCGCTACGCCGAAGGGGGTTCAGCTGGACGGGCACGGCGGCTTTGTCACCGTGTCACCCTTTCCAATTGGCATCGACGTGCGCAGTCTCAATCGTCGAAGGGCCGAGCCTGACGTGGCGGAGTGGGTCGAGAAGCTAAAGGAGAGATATGAGGGCAAGAAGATCATCGTGGGTAGGGACAAGCTTGATTGGATCAAGGGCGTCCGACAGAAGCTGCTGGCCTTTGAGCTCTTCCTCGAGGAGAATCCCAGCTGGGTGGGCAAGGTGGTGCTGATCCAGGTAGCCCTGGCCACGACAGAGGAAAATGAGGAGGCGGCAGCGTCGACCGAGGTTGTTGCTCGCATCAATAAGACGTACTCTACCCTCACCTATCAGCCCGTCGTCTTTCTCCACGTCCAGGACATCACCTTTTCGCAGTACCTGGCTCTGCTGACGGTGGCCGATGCATTTCTTGCAACAAGTTTGAGGGAAGGGATGGGCCTGACGGCGCATGAGTGGGTCATCTGCCAGGAGACCAAGCATCGACCTTTGATCCTCTCTGAGTTTACGGGAAGCTATTCGGCATTGCGCGCTGCAATCGGGATCAATCCCTGGGCCAAGAAGCAAGTGGCGGCAGCCATCCATAAGGCTCTGACCATGGATGATGACGAGGCAGCGCAACGTTGGGAAGACCTTCACAGACAGGTTGTCACGTGAGTCTACATCTCCATTTCCCTCTTCCCCCTTGCTGCACTTCATGTCAATCTGACGACGCCAATCGTCACTACTATGAACCGTCACGCTCGCCTACAAGTCAAACGGCCCCGCATTGGGCTTCAAGCTTCTTAGGAAGGCTTGAACGCGCTCACATCGACCAGGAGAGGCGCAATCACGCCTTTATTCCTCGGCTCGAAGTGGGCCAGCTGTCATCCGAATGGCGGGCCGCAAAGTCGCGACTGCTCTTCATTGATCTCGAAGAGACGCTCATGGAGGATGATGCGGCGGCAATTCATGAGCAAGGGTTCCACGTACCGACAGACGTTTTGAACCTTTTGCAGCAGCTGTGCGCCGACGCAAAGAACCGCGTCTACCTGTCGAGCTCCCGAGGAGAGCAAGATCTCGAGCAGATCGCCGAAAAGGTGCCGAGGATTGGCTTCCTTTCCGAGAGCGGTTGCCAAGTGTCGTATGCGGGCGAGGGCGCGGAATTAGGACCCAAGACGTGGACCAGTTTGGTCGCGGGTTCCAACCTGTCTTGGCGTGAACCAGTCAAGGAGCTTCTGTCCTACTTTACCGAGCGAACTCGTGAGTTTCCCGATGTGTGCGCGGGCCGCCTTCGTGTCACTCGATGGGACGGTGGGCTGACGACAGTCATACTTGCACGGCTCAGCCGGCTCCTGGCTCGAAGATCGAGGCGCTTCCATTCTCTGGCAGTTCTGGAGCACCAAGCTCGGCGAAGCCTCGAGTCAAGCGGCCCAATGGGCCCGGAGACAGGCGAATGAAGCCCTCAACCTCATCTATGACTCGCTTGGAGAACGCTACTCGCTCAGGATCATTCCCGGGCCTCAATCTTTTCTCATCATGCCCAAAAACGTCTCGAGACAGACTGCGATTCAGCACATTGTCAGCCTCAGTGCCGTCGGGTCTCCGCTCATGACGACACGGGGCAGTAGTAGTGGTGGTGCCGCAAGGGCCAGCGATGAAAGCGCCGTGGCTACCCAGAAGCATTCCCCTGATGACGTCGGCACTGCCTCGAATGCTGCGCCCCAACATTCATCAGCTCGAATAGTGACGGTAGAGGCCACCAGGCCGAGGAGCATCAGTGAAGCCCTCGGCTTGTCCCCCGCTCGTCCTGGCGCTGGCGGCGGCTCGATTGAGGCAGGAAAAAACGCAGCATCGTCCTACAGCTCTTCGATTGGTGGACAAGACCTTCATCCCTCGGGCAGGGGCTCGTTCGACTTTGTCATCGCTATTGGAAAGGACGATGGCACATTTGCATTCGTCAATGGCCTCGACCTTCCATTTGCGCCCATAACATGCACTTGTTCGACCGAAGGTCATAGGGGCAGCGAGGCTTCTTTCTACCTCGACGGCATCAATGATGTCAAAAATTCCCTCTCCGAACTCATCGCTTTCAAGGGCCGGGACATTAAGTGGGGATCGCCCTTCATGGCAGATGTATGAAGCTAGCTCTTGTCCAGCACAAGCTTAATGTCAACGCCAAACAAGATCGCTCTTCTGCCCACCGCTTCTTTAACACCCTTCTGTTCCTTGACCGACTGTTGGTTGGCATGGCCAAAAAGGATGCCATTCAAAGACAATTGCAATTCCTCTTTGCAGTCAGAGGCTCGCAATCCTGACCTCTCCCCGAAAGCCCCGATTCCTTTCTACTTCACCCTCCTCACTACCCTGCTTCATCTACCACCTACTATATACAGTACATCACTTATACTCCCGCTTGTTCCACACTACTACTAAACTGCTGCTGCTGCCACAACTGACTACCCTCAATTACCACTACTCGATTATACATAAATGCTGTTGCCTACACTAGCTACTGCTGCTGTACTACACTCTACTACCAGCTCTTCTGCCTGCGTGCCGTGTTTGGATTCGGCACGCGCGACCCTAGCTTGTACTGCTGCACCCCTCTTTCCAAGGCGCTAAAATCGCACATTTTCTCGCGTCTTAGAAATTGTGCAATGCGCGCGTGCATGCCGACGAGGACCAGGCACCAGAGGGGCACAAGGGAACCAAAACCAACAATATCGTCTAATGCGCGCCGTTTCCCTCATGGGACGGGCCCGCCCGACTCTGCTCGTCGCCATCGATCGATTCTCTTTCGCGCCACCATCTCTGCTCCTCAATCCCTCTCCTTCCCTTCTCTTCCAGCCTCCGCTCTCGGTCTCTCCCTTCCTTCCACTCTTTCAACCTCCCCCTAGGCTCCATTGCTCTTTTTCAGCCCGCTCGCGAAAATGAGGTCGTCTGCTGTCGCTCTCGTTGCTCTTGCCGCGGTGACCCAAGTCTGGGCGAACTCTCCCGCGCCCACTCCGGTGAGTCTAAATCAAGCTTGTGAGCCACTGCACCTCGATGGCAAGCCAGAGAGGGAAGTGAAACAAGAGAATCACACTTGAGGAAGGGATTGTGATGGACAAGACGGCTCCTGCTCGAACTGGAAAGAGAATTGCTAACCTTTTTTGTTGTTACTATCTGTCCTTCAGGCCCTCGAAAAGCGCCAGGCGTTCCCAAGCGGTCTTGATGTCTCTCAGATTGCGGCCAACCCTTCGTCTTTCTTGTCCGAGGCATCTAAGCTTCTGACGATCCCCGCCGCGGCTTCCGTCTTCTCCTCGGTGACGGCCGATCCGGCCTTTGCCTCTTCGCTTAGCGAGGCTCTCGTCTCCCAGTACGGCAGCTCCACGGCTAATTCGTACCTCTCTTCGGCATACAAGGAGCTCGCTTCCGTCACCTCGAGCGCCGCATCGGCCCAGAGCACGACTTCGCAATCGTCGAGCAGCAGCTCCAACTCCAACTCGGCTCCTTCGTCGATTGTGCCCACCGTTGCCCTGAGCGCAGTCGCTGCTGCTGGCGTTGCTCTGCTTTTTGCTGCTCTCTGAGACGTAGTATCTGCAGCCTGTTCTCTTAACGCTGTCTCTGTCTCCGGCCTTCTGAGTCAGTGAATCATGAGTCGAGGGCCATCATATCCTCTCCTCCCCCCCACGCTCCTTTGCATACCTCTCCTTCCCCCATATGACCCTTTCTTTTTCTACTCGTTGGATGTACCGGTCTGCATCCCTTCACACTCTACCCTTACCCCTCTGGTTTTTGAAGTCTTCTTGGTCCGTTATGGAATGGAATGTGTGCTTTCCCTGCCATGCTATCCTCCTGCTTGCGTCAACTTATACAATTACACTCTCTAGAAACGGGAAGGCTTTCAAGGGAAGAGGCAGGGGTCTTGCTCTTCAATTCTCGGGTATGCGGCTTTGACACGCAACGCAGCGGTGTGAGTGGGACGAGGGAAAAGGAACAAAAGGGAGGTGGGGGTGACGACGACTCACAAACACGTAATCTCGTTTTGCTTGAAGTACCGCCGATTCTCCTCGTCGATGAGGACGAGATTGAGGTAGTAGCGGGTGCTGAATTTCTTGTTGACGTCTCGGAACGTGGGCGTCAGCTCAAAGCCGCCAAGAAAGAGGCGAATGGGAATTGTCTCTCCTCTGACAGGCGCGCCATCCATGATCTCGAATTTGGTGATGGTCTCGGACTCATTGTATTGATTTGGCGCTGTTTCACGGGCGATGGGTCAGTGGATTTCGACAGCGGACTTTAGCTCGAGGGGGGTTTCTCGCCAAAGCAAGAAAAAGAGATTTAAGGCAGGCACCCACCCGCTCCAGTCGTCTCTCTTCGAATGATGGAGAGCTCCATGTGCTTGATTTTGATTCTGACGAGCAAGAAGTAAATTTTGCCCACGATGACGTCCTTCAGATGGTATCTGAGAAGATGCGTAGGTGCGCGTCAGCAGCTTGACAAGGTCACACACCCGCCCCGGGGAAACTCGCTTGCTCTTGTTGTATTCGAATTCGATGTGGAGACAGTCCTCGATGCCGACCTCCATCTTGATAGGATTGTTGCTGTCTGGAGGCATGCGGTACGAGTGAACCCAGAGGTCCTTCTCCTTGGCCACATCAGCCATGCGCCGGCCGAGAAGGACGCGGAGAAAGTAGCGAAGCTTGACATTGATGCCGTTGTACGATTCGTAGGCCTTTTCGACGTTCTTGAACTCAAAGTCATACACGGCCCCTCCCCCACCAGCAGCTACCTCGCCCGGCGATGCGAGCTGGTGCGTGAGAGAGAGAAACTCGTAGTGGTTGCCTCGGTCGTAGAATAGCTCTGTTTGTTTTCCCTAGGATGAGCAAGTCGACAGACATGAAGCGAGTATTCCTGGGCAACATCGCCGTCGACGCCGCTGCTGCTCACCAATGCATCCGACAAACTCAATCTTGATCCCCTCGTGGACCAGACGTTTGCCGTCCCGGGTGCGAATGTGCACCTGACCCTTTACGCTCTCGCCGTCAAAGTAGACGGGGCAGCGCTCTCTTCGATCCTTGTCGACCTTGACCTCGACCTGGCGCCGCTGTTCGTCGCCGTCGAGGCGCACGTCTACGTCGACGGGCGACGCAAAGTTGAAAAAGGAGGCCATCGAGCACCGGTCGTCGCAGCGGGAGTCGAGCGTCTTTCCGGCTGCCCACCCTTAATAGTTCCCTACTGAACAAGTCGACCTCCACGTGATTTTGCTGGCAACGAGTGTTGTTTCTCCTCAAGACTCTCCTCATCCGTGGCCCCATCACTACTACAGTCTCACTTCCTTTTTGGGGGTCGACATCAACAAGGTGGGCAACATCAGCAATGTTGTCGGCGCATTGCCTATTAGTCGTTTTCTTGACGGCATATCTGGCGGCAGCCCTGGCAAGCGCTTCTGCGACGGGACCGAGAACGCTTGTGCTCTTGGATGCCACGCTGGATCGCTCGGCCTATTCCACCTATTTTTCGGCCCTCGAGAAGCAGGGACTCGAGCTCGCATTTCGAACCACGAAAGAGTCGACTCCCACCCTGACGGCCCATGGGGAAAAGTCATTTGACCATCTGATCGTCTTTGCGCCCGAAGCCAAGAGTGAGCCCTCCGCAGAAGTCTGACGCATGTCGGGCGTCCACTTGCTCAAATCCATCTTGCTCTCCCTCTCCTAGCCTTGGCGGCAGATGTGACACCTCAAGCACTTGTCAAGTTCCTCAAAGAGGACGGCAACATTCTCTTTGCTCTCTCTTCGAACCTTGCCGAGCAGTATCGAGACCTCGCACGCGAATTTGACGTAGAGTTCGACGAGCGAGGGACCCGTCTCGTCGATCACTTTAGCTCGCTCTCGTCCGACCCCACTCATACATCTGTCCTTGTCCAAGATGGGCTTGACGCTTCTCTTGGCCCACTTTTCTCAGCACCTGCAGCTGTGGCCGATCCCTTTCTGTACAAGAATGGTATTGTCCACCGTGTCGGCGACAACCCACTGGCCTTTCCCATCCTTCGACCCGCTTCTCTGTCCTACTCTTTTGAAGGACCCTTGTCGGAAGATGAAGCGTCCTCGATCGACAAGCTTGATTCGCCAGACAGAGAATTGATGCTGGGCAGCGATGCAGACGTCTCGCTCATCTCAGCCTTTCAGCTCCTCAACACGGACCGGAGAAATCCGGACCAGAGCCCGAAGAGGGTCGGTAGTGCCGGCAGAGTGGCCTTTGTGGGCAGCATCGAGGCCTTTTCTAATGTAGCAATCGACACCAAGAACATCGAGACGAAAGATGGGAAGAGGTAGGTGTCCGAGTGGCCAGACCGTAAGCAAGTCTACCGAAACTCATCTCCTTGCTCCACCGTGCCGCCAGCTTTGCTTCCACGAGCAATCTTGCCTTGCTCTCGACGCTAAGTTCTTGGGTCACCCAGAACCACGGAGTGATTCGCGTGGAGGGAACCTCACACGAGCGCGTCCGCCAGAGTCAGACGGACATACGGGAATCCTACGAAGAGTTCGATGCGCAAGATGAGAGCCAAGCAAAGCGGGTGCAGAACATGTACCGGATCATGGACACTGTCGTGAGTCCTGTCTGGTCGAGATTCGTCATGGCAGAAGTGTGCGCCGCTCATCTTGGCAACAACTTACAGACCTTCAACATTGACCTCTCGCAACACACGCCGGCCGGGTGGACACCTGCGCCGAACGACCTAGACCTTCAAGTGTCGCTCGTCATGCTGGATCCCTACGTGACGACGAATTTAACAGCCCGTGGCCAGCTTGCCACCACGGCGCCTTCCAGCGGCAACCTCTCGCAGAAATCTCTGGACAGGACGCCCCGGTCGACGCGATATTCGAGCACTTTCCGCCTTCCTGACAAGCATGGAGTCTATACGTTTGTCGTAGACTGGAAGAGACACGGATGGTCCTATGTCAACACTCGCGACACCACTCCAGTCCGTCCACTCAACTCGGACGAGCACCCCCGCTTCCTTCACGCCGCCTTTCCCTACGTCGCAGGCGCCGCATCGACCGTGACAGCCTTTTTGCTCTTTTCCCTCCTCTGGATCACGTCCGATGATCAAGGAGGCAAGGACAAAAGAAAAGAGGAGTGATGCATTCGTCTTACTAGAGAATAAATACAGGTTTCGAGAAGACCACTTTAGCTTGGAGTGCGGCGGAGTAGTAGTAGCAGCAGCAGCAGCAGCAGCAGCAGCAGCAGTAACAGTAGTGGTGGAAGTTGTAGCGATGGTGGTGATTGTGATAGTACCGCTCATGTGCCACATTCTCGTCGGTCGCGCCCTTCGGAACATCTGCTGCTCTCAGACGACAAGAATCTACTGCATTTCTGACACCCCACATGACGCCAGCGCTAGAGGTTTACTTGCCCAGAAATGCACACGATGGCGTGGCCACCGATCCAAGTCGTGCCATTCGCTTCGTCTGCACGCACGACGATTCGACCTTCGCGACCGAGCCTAGCCCCCTGGGAGATGACGTAAGTCGCTGGGACGGAGCGAGATGATTGCGATTGCCGCTGCAGAGAGAGAGCCAGTCCTGCGTTGAAGCTTCCGCAGACGGGGTCTTCCTTGACTCCCTGTCCTGGGGCAAATGCTCGCACCTCAAAGGCGGGCTCGCCCTCTCGTGCCTGTCCGCCGATATAGGGACCAAAGATGCCCCACATTAGATCGCTTACCGGCTCTGTTGCTCCGAGTTCAACGCCCAGAACATCATTCGCCGATGCCAGGCGCAGTGCAAACCACGTCGGGCCATTGACGATCCACTGCGCATCGAGCACGGCGCTTTTTGTAATGCCCATGGCCATGCACGCTCTCTCGACGATGGAATCCTCGACTGGTCCTGACCTCGTGAGGGGTGGTGCAGCGAAGGAGAGGCTGCCATCTGCCTCGATGGCAATCTCAACACTACCGATGCCGCATTGTTGGACGACTCTTGCTTCGCGCCTGGGTCGCCCGCCATGGTGGAGCCAAGCCTGGCAACTTCCCAAAGTAGGATGGCCCGCAAAGGGCAGCTCACTATTTGGCGTAAAGATTTTAAGATGGTAGTCATACGAAGATTCGTCGTCCTCAGTCTCAAAAAGGAAAGTCGTCTCCGACAAATTTGTCCACCGAGCAAAACCCTGCATCTCTTGCTGGCTCAAGGTGCGATATCTTGGCACAACGACGACAGCCACGGGATTACCCAGCGTCGGCTTGGACGTGAAGACGTCGACCTGATAGAAGGAAGATTGGGGCATGCTGTCGAGCAGGCTTTCTTGAAAAGACTCTTGTTCCCCCCTTCTGTTGGAAGACGATAGAACCCTAGCCTGGGGCAATGCAGGGAATATTATACTATATTCTGCGTCGAGTCAGGACGGAAAATCCCGAGCGGGACCGATGGAAATGTCCGAGGGTCGACTGATCTTACTTTCCATTCCCGTGAGCTAAATAAAGGAAAGAACAGCTGAGAGAGCGAGAACGATAGCTAGGTTGGAGGTGCTGAGCACGACTACGGCGGTATCCTCCCAACAAGGAGGGCTTCGCATCATAAAACTTTACAGCTGGGGGGGAGGTACCGACGTGGTCTGGGCATCGGTGAAGATGAGGTCATAGACTTGAGCAGTACCGCCGGTTCCTCGTGGGATAAATTGGATCTCCTCGTGGGCTGTATTCTTGAGGATGATGTCCTTGGGCTCGCTGGCAAACTCGAGGTACATGGTTGCGTGGGAAGCGGCAATCGTATGGTAAAAGAAGGTGTTGTCCTCGTTCACCTTGTTGCAATTCGAGTCGAGAACCGAATTGCGCGCACCTTCGTTATCGCTCTCAAGGGTAAGGCAGTGCTTGGTCGCATGCCAAGGACGCACGATGCCGTTGCCCGTCACGGGTCGACCCGAAGTCGGCGGCGTGTAGTCGGCCGGAGGAGGCCTTGCTGCCGAGGTGCAATTGGCAAATTCAAAGACCTGGGGTTGGAGCGGCTTTCCCTGATTGTCCTTCGTGACGATGATGGAGGCCTGCTGGCCGTCGATGCCGCTGTGCTTGACCCCGTCGACGATGCCGGCCCAGATGACGGGCGCCGAGGCGTTGTTCTTTGGACGGATGGCCAACGATGCATGGCCGTACGAGGTGCAGTCGCCAGTGACGTCACGCTTCATGCTCTCCACCGAGGCAGCGCTCACGGAGGAAGCGATGAGGGTCAGCGAGGCAGAGAAACAAAAGAGGGCGTTTCTGTTCAACATCATTGCTGGTCCTGCTGTCTGAATGACTGAGAAGAGAGAGAGAGAGAGAGAGCTGGTGGATTTGGGTAGAGCAGATGACTTGCGAACCTCTTCCTTTATACCCCGGTCGATCGGCTCTGTACCTTTTCTAAAGACGATGTTTAACGAATTCGGGAAAACCTACCCCGCTCTTGAAGGCAGACATCCTCGGAACGTCGCTTGACCTTCTCAACGTAATAGTTGTGTTCAGACATCTTCGTCGTTGGAAGTCCGTTGCCCGGTTGGCAATTTCCCGCCGCCAGCCCCGCGCGTCAAAGGCAAAAAAAAAAAGGCTCTGTTGGGTTCCAAGTAGTAGTCCAAAGCATTCAGCTACCACTTGCGACTTGCCACAGCTCGAATGGAAAGCTCTCTAGCCCCCTTTGCTGCAGCAACAGGTAGTACGTCGAACATACGTGTTGCGTGCTCGGTCGGAGTTAGGAACAGCAAAGGCAACAAATTACTACTACAAGCTACTACCACCACTACTATGCTCGCGCGGAAATCCGCGTTCACACATGCAGACACAATCCATCTCAGAATATGCTCATCTCTTGCGCGACAAAACAGAAGGCAAGAAGAGGAGACAGTATGCATCCATCATTGCATGAAATCGCCAATCTGCTTAGCTTCTCGCTCTTCTGTGTCCGCTTGCATCTCCTGCCCATCGATGTCCTCCTCGCCCTCTTGCATCTCTTGTCCGTCGATGTCGCCGGCGTCGCCGTCCACACCCTTCATCGCCTCGCCGTCGGTGTCTTCGCCGCGTTCCTTGTCTTCTCCGTGAGATCCATCGTTGCGTCTCACTTGCTCTTGGGCGGCAGCGACAGCATCTCCGGCCACACCATATGGGTGGCCGATGTCTTCTTGCTGTTTTTGAGCGTCGTCGTTACCAGTCTCACGAGCGGACCCAGTCTCGAGCAGGCAACCCCACTCGGCAAGCGTCTGCTGAGGAAAAACGAGCCACGACTCCCAAACGGCCAGTAAGGTCCTTGCCCAGTCCTTGGACGTCTCGCGCTTGATGCGGCCCGAGAAGCTTCTCGCTACATCACCCAGATGCGCGAACACCCTGGCCATGCGCGTCTCGAAGAGGGAACGATAGCGCCAGGCGTGAGACGCCGTGGCGGCACTGTTGTGAAGGATGTCGGAGACAATGTAGAGACGGGCCTGCTTGCGCGCCAATGGCGTCCCTGGTTGCATCAGCGAATCGATTAGGATGTCTGAGATCTGGAGGCAAGTACGTTATCTTGTCAGCCCGTGATGATGGGTGGCACGTAGCCTCCTAACCAAACCACGTCGAGCTCACGGTAACAGCTGCTGATGCGTGCTCAATTGCAAAGGCCATTGCTCGGGCAATGCGCTCGCGACGGAGGGTCATGGACCTCAGCATGGCTTCGAAGCGCCTTCTGGCCGCCTTGCCCAACACATGCTGCTTTCCTCTCTCTTGCAGCTTCTCCCACTCGCTGTCCTCTTCACTGTCGGAAGAATAGAGCGACGCCGTCCCCTTTCGTTTTTCGTTTTTATGTTTATATATCCCAGCCTGACATTAGTCCTCGTCGAAACCTGACCCTTTCGCGGTGACTCGCGCTCACCTCATCAGCAAAAGCTGATTCTCCAATAGTGGGCTCGTGGCGCTCATCGATGAGGATCCTCATGTATTGATGCGCTGCCGACTGCCAAATCGAAGGAAGGTAAATTACTGAAAGATGAGATGGGCTGAGACGAAGAGGCCTTCCATGTGACACGCACCTGGTCGTCGAAGAGAAAGGCATATTGTGGATTGCCGCTCTGATGCCACTTGGCCTGCTCCTCAATCGCTCGGCCATACTCCTTGATGCGCTGAGCCAAGAATCGAACCCTGCGCTCCGTCTCAGGGCCATCGTTCGACGACTCTTCAACGGCTGTCCGGAGCCACGTCTTGGGCGAGCGGCTAGTGCCCCCTCGTCGGCGTCGATGATTTCTTGAGTCAGGGCTGCGAGAGCCTGTCTTGACCCTTCTGCTTGGTGCTTCGTCTTTTTGTGCGCTGTTGGACGAGACTTGTGAGATGCAAAGGGGAGAGAAAGAGTCAATGGCCTCATCATCGACCGTACTCAATGTCCATCGTCCCTTACCAAAAGCTGGTCGAGCGGGCAGGGGCATGCTCCTACCCCAGCTTGTCCTGAGGCGAACTCCATTCCAACGAAGGCCGTCTGCACCATCCAGGGCGCTTTCGGCGTTAGATCTCGTCATGTACGAGACAAAGCCCGTCAGGCCGGTGCCCAACGTGCTGCGCGCGCCAGTTGCAGTGCCTGGCAGAAATTCCTCGCCTCTGGGCCACATGATCTGCCCCAAGTATCAGCACCAAGAATTGACACTTTCATCGTTTGCATTGCTCTCACCTTGACGGTCGCCACATCGCCCCATCTGGCAAAGTACTGGCCCAGGCCAATCTCGTTGATGTTGGCAGGCAGGTTGATGACGCAGACGTTGGTCGAATGAGGGTCGTCGGTGTCTTTCTGGGAGCCGTACTTTGAGCCCTCGGAATGGGACGCATAGGGTGCCCTGTGCTGCTGTTCTTGTCGAAGCAGCTGTTGCTGCTCACGCTTTGCCTGCTCTCTGCGATGGCCCAAGGAATAAGATCGAATGTGTCAGGAGCGACGAATGCTAGTAAAAGAATTTGCCCTCTCACCGCTGCAGCTCTCCCAAGAAGTCACCCATGGCCCCTCGCTTCTTGCCAAGGGGATCACGGCGTAGCCTTGCGACAGCAGTGGCCGCCTATATATAAACAATACCACCGCGGGAGAGGGGGCCGTCAGTGGATGTCTGGGGCACAAGCGCAAGCCGGTGAGGTCGACATACCTGCGCCTCTTCGCGCCCCTCTTCCATCGTCGACGAAGATGAAGACGGTGCCGCGAACGATGTCTGAAGCAGCTCTCGTGATGACGGTTCATACGTCGAGGAGCCTCCCGCTCGTACAAAAACGCCCCTGGCCCGCTCAGACGAGGGCCTGCCCTCCATGTCTTGCACAAAGTCCTGGTAGGCCCTCGCTGCCTCCTCATCGGCCTCTCTCTTTTTTCTTTCCTGCTCCTCCTTTTCCTTCTGGTGTCTACTCTTTATCCGCATGGCACCACCTGCGGCCAGTCGCTCGAGCCGAGCGGCCTCGCTCTTCGGTGAGCGGGGGCGTGCGGCTTGCTGATCGGCCAGGAACTGGGCCAATTCTAAGTCTGGCGAGGCAGAGCGCGAAGACTGTCTCGCCCTTGACCTTTCTCTCTCCTTCCATCTGCCACCTCTGCTGGCCCCATAGCTGCTCTCTTGGGGCCATCGTGACCGCCCTTCCCGCATCGCTGCTCACACTTTGTGCACGTCGTCGTCAAGTGGTCGCAGGTTGTCGTTTCCTCTTCTGTGGGTTTTTTTACGTTTAATTGTTTTTTATGGGTGTTGTTTTCTCTCTCTCTCTGCGCCCTGCTCTTCATTAGTCTAATCGCAGGGCTGCTGCTACTTCGGCCTGTGGCCCGTGCGCAAGGCTGTTTCTCAACGCCATCCTGTCATCAGTCATCGATGAGGGCAACTCTGAATTATAATGGGTAAGAGTGGTGGGTGTTCTGATGCTGTGCTATAGAAATACATGGTTGGTTTGCAAAGTAATCTATCTATTCTTACACGTCTACCGCCCCTTTCTGCCCACTTTCTCCTCTCTCCTCTTGAGCGGCCCTTTTCGCCAGCCTTGTCTTTCTGCCTGCCCGAATGGCATCGAGACAATCATCGATGGCTTTCTCGGCTTCGACTTTGAGCGCCTCCACCTCTGGCCGAGCACAAAAGCTCAGGGGAAAACGAAAGGAGAGCCATAGGTAGAGCGTCATTCCGCGGTGGAGCGATTCCAGGATCATGAGCGAATTAACATCGCCTCGTTGACGGCTACTGGGGTCTTGAACCTCGCGCAGAACGTCAAGCATGCCGAGACCTCTTTCCACATCCTGGAATTTGATGAGGTTACCGCTGGCATAGGCCGTGACCATATGCGAGAGGAGGATCATCAGCCTTTCGTCGCGGATGTTGGCGGGCGCCACGGAGAAACGCTCGTGCTCCGAGATGGAGAGCTTGGCAGATGCCGGTGAGGCTCGCTCAACGATTGGCGCGATGACGAGCTGTTGCTCCAAGCTTGCCAAAAAGTAGCTTCGAGAGTCGATGCGGGACAGCGTTGATACGTCGTCGAGCAGCATCGACAGTGGACGTGGCCGATGGCCATCGGCGAGGCGTGGTAGCACCGTCGAGAAGCTTGCCAAAGCGTCGGAGCTGGGCTGTATTGCTGCCCTTGTGATGGGGACCAGGGGTGCTTCCAGAGCCTTGCGCACCACATCGAGGTCACGCGGCCACAGCGTTGTTGCCAGGCCTCCAGTGTCCTCGCTGCTCGTGCCGTACCGGCCCGCACGGCCGGCGATTTGCTTGAGCTGGGAGGTGGAAATGGGTACCATTTCGTTCCCATTCCATTTAGTGACCGACGAAAAGACAACTCGCTTGATCTTGCTGCAAAGATTCCGGTAATTTGTCAACCAGACTTGTTGGAGAGACCTCGTGCGCGGACAGCAGACTTAGGCTCGGCTTACTCACAGGTTCAGACCCATGCCCACGGCGTCGCTGGCCACCATGACATCGACGCCGCTGTTTGGATCGTTGAAAATCTTGGCCTGTTCGCTCTTTGTTTCGGGAGGCAGAGCGCCGTAGGCGATGGCGCAGCGGAGTCCCGTGCGCAGCTCAATGTCCCTCTTCAGGGAGAAGAGGAGCGAGCGGGAAAAGGCAACGACGCAATCGCCCCGCCGAACATTTTCCAACTTGCCGTCCAGGTCCTCGCCCAGGTTGAGAGGTGTAAGCCGCTCGTACTCGTGCACTTCGAGTTCGTCACCGCAGGCGTCTGCCATGTTTCGCAAAAGCGGAACCACGCTGCTCTCGCCACAGAGATGCAGCTCCCTTGCGGGGATGCCCAGCACGGCAGCTGTCCAGGCGCTGCCCCGCTGCGCGTCGCCAATCATCTGGATCTCGTCGATGACGGCTACATCACAGGGTTTCTCCAGGTTGGCCATCTCGACAGTGCAGGCGACCAGACCGGCAAAGTCGTCAGTCATGCGCACCTCCTCGCCCGTCACGAGGTTGCATGTCCTTGGCTTGACGCCCGGAGACACTGTGCCTGCATTGATCCGATCCCAGACCTCATGTGCCAGCAGCCGGAGTGGACCTGCATACATGCCCGTCCTGGCCTTGCAGAGAGCGACGAGGGCGCCGTGGGTCTTGCCGCTGTTTGTCGGGCCGACGTGAAGGTGGATGGATCGTTTGATGGAGCGGGCCGCGCTGTAGGCCATGGCCGGCTTGCGCATGTCCGACGTGCTCAACAGCAGCTCAAGGTGGGCCAACAGAGCCCGACTACCGTCGGTCAAAAGGGCCCCACCCTGGACCCTGCTGATGAGCCACTGGAGGAACAGGTGGGTGTGCTCGCGCCGAAAACTGGATTCACCCTCGGCATCGAATGCGTTGCTAATCTGCTCCATGTCCACCGTCACCGAGACTGCTCCGGACGGCCTCGAGTCGGCGTCCCGGCAACTGTCTCGGTTCCTGACCGCGCCTGCAGCACCATCAGGGGAGAGGAACGCGGAGAGCTCGCGAGACCATTGCTGCAGCAGCGCTCTGACAGCATCTGAGTCCGTTTTCGTGTCACCCTGAAGACCAAGAAGCACACCAGCTGCGTCGCGCAATGCGTGACCTCGAACGCCCCACGAGACAATCTTATCGGCCACCCGGGCGTCGCCGGCAAAGTCGCGCAACTTGGATCGAAAGCGGTCAAAAACCTTAGTTCTCGACGCCGTCTGCTTGTCATCGGCATTTCTTTGTCTCTTCTTGGGCTTGTGCTGTCTCTGTGGCCGAGGTAAGAAGCGAAAGCCCTGGCTGTTGATTGGGGTGTCATCGTCGCCAATGCCGCTTCCGATGCTGCCGATGCTGCTGGGCGACGACTCCCAGGCAAGGCTGTTTGAGATTACGGGGGTAATGTGCAGCCAATGCCTCTGTACGTGACGCCGCGGTGCGCCCAAGACAGTCGCCCTCGTCCACGGCAGAGACGCTGATCGAAGCATGGATCGAGGGTGGGATCAAGAAGAAGACGGTTCTGTCAGCCCAGGTACAGAAAGTACAGAACACCTCTAAAATTTCCTGAGGCTGATTCCTTCGCCCACGTGTCCCAAGGGACCCTCCTCCACCTGCTTGTCCTGTCAGAGCCACAGGGAGACGCACCTCTACCTGTCTGCCTGTCTGCCTGTCCGTCTTTCTGCTTCGACGCCGCAAGAGTGTGAGAGCCAAACCAGGGGCGAAGAGGGACACTTGCCGCCCATGTCATCTTCACCCTCCCCGGGTGCCCGTGGCGGACCACCGCTGCATGTGGCCATACTGGCGGGAGCCGTGGCGGGGAGCATCGAGCCTTTGGTTTCCTTTCCGTTCGAATACCTCAAGACGGCCCAACAGCTCCACGGGGCGCCAATGGCGGCCACTACCGTCGTTGCCGGAGCAAAGGCAGGCGCAAGACATGGACCCCTCTACGTTGCTCGAGAGATTCTTCAAGCACCTGGTGCGCGAGGTTGGAGGTCGCTGTACCGAGGTGTGGGCGTGGTCAGCACGGGAGGCGCAGCCAAGGCCGTCGTACGATTCACGACGTACGACCGGGTCAAGAATGCCCTCAAGACACCAGAAGGCTCCTTGAGCGGGCCCTCGAGTCTGGCAGCCGGTCTCTGCGCTGGTGTAGCCGAGGCGCTCTTTGTTGTGATCCCATCCGAGACGATCAAGTGAGTCTCTGGCCTCTTCTTCTTCTTCTTCTTCTTCTTCTTCTTCTTCTTCTTCTTCTTCTTCTTCTTCTTCTTCTTCTTCTTCTTCTTCTTCTTCTTTCAATCCTCCCCGTCCCGCAAGTCTTTTGAAGAATGCTCATCAACGTGCAATTTGCGCGCACAAGGACTCGTGTGGTGCAGAGCAGCTTGCCAGGCGCGCAAACGCCTTACGGCAATGGATCGTTTGCCGTTGCCCGAGAGCTGTGGGCCCAGTCGGGCTTCCGCGGCATCTATGCCGGCGCGTGGGCGACGCTGGCGAGACAGGGCACCAATGCGGCCGTGCGCTTTGGAAGCTATTCGACACTGCGAAACCTTGTCCAAGGCAGCACCCGACCGGGCCAGAAGCTACCGGGAGGCGTCACCTTTAGCATTGGCGCGGCCTCTGGCGTCGCCACCGTCTATCTCTCGATGCCATTTGAGTGAGTCGATTGTGCTTCTCCTTCCGCCGACGGGTGAAAATCAGAACAAGAGGAGCGGGAGAAGGAGGAGCTAGAGCAATGGGCACGACTTCTCACTATACTGAAATTTGCCGAAACGTCAGCGTCGTCAAGACAAGGATGCAGTCGCTGCAGGCCCGCTCCCGGTACAGGAACTCGTTCTGGTGCGCCATTCATACGGCCCAGGAAGAGGGCGTCCGTGCACTCTGGAGGGGCTCCACCATGAGGCTCGCGCGCATGAGTCTCAGCGGCGGCATTGTCTTTACTGTCGTGAGTGTTCCACGCCTTGCGCTTCCCAAGCTTCCAGCCTCCAGCGCCTATGCCGCTGTCGCGAGACTGACCTTGCGCGCCTTTACCAGTACGAGGAGTTCACCTCGCTGACGGAGGGCCTGTAGGACTTGCTTAGTGAATTACTATCCACCTGCTCCTCATTAGCGACTTGCCGCGCAAAAAAAAAGAAGAAGAAGAAGAAGAAGAAGAAGAAGAAGAAGAAGAAGAAGAAGAAGAAGAAGAAGAAGAAGAAGAAGAAGAAGAAGAAGAAGAAGAAGAA